GTCCGCCTCTGTGAGCAGCATTAGCGTCTCCAGATCGATCTCCTGTTTCTGAAAACTAAACACGATTTCGGTTAGATCTGAGCTGTATAGTTGCCACTTGGTTCATGCTTACACTGGCAGATACTCATCCAGTGCCCAGACGGTCAGGAAACGCTGCAATGCGCTGGCCGACAACTCCTGCTCATCCTCGTCCTCGCTGTACACATCCTCGCCGGCGCCCTCCGAGTCGCTGTCATCGGACAGATTCAAATACAAGCGCGCCTTATTACCGCCGGAGCGAGATTTGTTGTTGTTGGCGCTGCTGCTTGCATTGCGCATGGTCGAGCTGGACATGCTGTCGCCGCCGTCCGTTTGCAGCTGCAGCTGACTGAGGGCCGCGGTCACAGAGCGCCGGAACGCAATGCTGCCCAGCATGGTGGGTCGGTCGAACAGGCCGATGGGTCGCTGCAGCACCAGCTCCTCGCTCAGCTCCTGCGCCAGCTGCGCATCGCCCAGTATATCCGGCTGGGAGAAGCTGCGCGACAGCGCCGCACTGTAGCCCAGCCGGCTCGCATCGCGCTCGCCGCCATTCGCGTCCAGCTCAAAGACGTCGGCGATCTTGCCGCGCTTGCCATTGCCATCCTCCGTGGAGCTGAACGTGCCCACATAGAGCACCTCTGAGTCGCGCTGCAGTCCCGTCAGCGATGTAATCGTGCGCTTGCCATCCGGCTCCAGTTCGCGCACCTTGAACCCACCATCGGCGGGCGCTGCGTGCGGACAGGCGCTGGCATGCTGCGGCTTGCCCGGCGGCTTCTTCTGCACGGTGCCCATACGGCTGGCTATGGTGGAGCCGCCGCTGCTGCTGCTGCTGCCACCACCACCGCCGCCGCCGCCCACCAAATCGCTGAACTTGGCGCCGACACGCGACGCCTGCTGTGGCTGGTGGGCGGATGCAGCCTGTTCCCGCGGCGCCTTGTTCAGATTGCCCTGACTGGACCAAATCTTTTGCTTGAGCGTGGACAGCATGTTGCTGGATTTGCTGCTGCTGACCAGAGTCTGGCGGCTGCTCGGCTGCAGATCTCTTTGTTGTTGCTGGCGTTTCATGTACTCCTTCACACGCTTCTCGCACTCCTTCTCCGCAATTTCCTTGAGAGCCTTCGACTTTTTTCTGTAAGATATATAATTATTATTTGCTTAAACATTTAAATGTTAAATCGAATCAGTCTAAGCAACTGATCGATAACCACGCTTTCGATAATTATCGAGCACTCGAAATTTGAAACGCGCGCTCACTTTTCGTTTGCCTCAAAGTTGGCTGCAGCTGCGTCCAGATAACGCAAAATCTCATCCCGATTGTTAATGGCCGCCAGATCCTTGGCATTGTGTCTGTCAATGTCCAAAGCGTAAATGTTAACGCCGAATTTGTAAAGAAAATCCACACAGTGCAAATGGCCCTTGGCGGCGGCCAAATGGAGCGCCGTGTTGCCAAACTGATCGCACTTGTCGGGATCTCCGCTGCCGAAGAGCAATCAAACGATAACTTGAGCTGGTCGAAATCTGGGCAAACATGTTCAATTTACCCCCTGCCACAGAGCAGACGCAGCGCATCGAGTCGTCCCTCGAACGCCGCCCACATGACCGGCGTCATTGAGTCATCGTCCTTGGCATTGGCATCCTTGCGCGTCGCCTCCTTCAGCACATCGAGCAGCCCGTCCTTGGCGGCCCTGTTGTTGTTGGAAATAACAATTCAGTTAAATTAGAACTTGCGCCGGGCAAAGCAGATAAGATAATACGTCTAGCAATATTAATTGCTTGTTATGCGGCATCAGAAACTCACTTGTGAAATCGATCTGAAGACATGTTTGTCGCTGTTTCCACAGACTACCAACTATGATGAGCCTATGAATGTAAGCAAATGACACACTTAATTTCATCCAAGTAGCCGGCACTTAAACCTAAACCAAGTAACCCTTTCACGCAAATTTCAACCAACACAACAGAACAATATTTCAGATGTGACGGAGCTCTCAGCATTCACATAAATATAGTTTTCAGTATACGTTCAAATCACAAATACTTTTAAATATCTACAATTACCAAATGGAAATGTCAGATACAATGAAACAGCATCCCATTGAATTCGGCTCGACTGCTCCGAAAAAGAGGTTCGCCCAGGGCAACTACCATGTGGACAGCCTTAAGAAGGCAGCTGTTAAACATGTCAAAAAGCAAGCTCTGAAAAAGAAAATGCTTTTTATAAAGCCCCAATTGCAGAGCCTGCAGAATCAAATCAAATCGAACGGCATCAAGTGGCTCGAAATGGAGAGCGAAATGAATTGGGTAACATTCAAGGATATCAAGAAGACCGCTTGGAAGCCAACACTGAAGATCAGCGATAATGATTTTATAGAATAACTTCATATTGTCCATAATGCATATATTTTTTAAAATTTATGGGCATATGGGGTTGAATTGATTTAATTGTATTTTAGTTAATAAAAGCAAATAGTTGGAGGGATGACAAATTCCGGAGTATAAATTGAAGGGGGAACAGCACGTAATACGTTGCGACAAGAGTTGGTTAACAAGTTTCAATATGGAATATATTCTGCATTCATATAAATCTGCCTGCTATCATCATTTCATAGAAAACAGCTTACGGTAAAATGTGGCATTTTACAACACTGGCCTGTCGAAAGAACCGCTAAAAAGAGCCGAGCTCAATTTGATTTGAGACGAACTCTTTAGAAATCGTATGTTGTCTAAGGCAAAGTAAGCCTTTTGAGAATATTTCAAATCAGATTCGAGTCGCTTGACTTCACAGACATTCATTTGTATATTTCTATTTAAACATTCCATATATATTTTTTACTTTGAAACCAAATCATGCCCGAGGAAATAGACCAGCATTTGGCCCTCACGCTGAACCAACTTGAGCTAACAATTGAGCAAAGCCGTCGTCAAGACGAATTGAAATGCGCTGCAATTGAAGAGAATCCGTTTTATGAGCCCTACAAGTGCACGGACCTATATCTCTGGAAGAAGGATACGGATCTGAACCAAATCAAAACGATGACATTCAAAAAGAAGAATATTCTAAGGAAGCCCATATTGCATCGGCTGCAATGCCAGACTATGCCCAAGGGAAGGAAATGGCTGCAGTTCTGCAAAACGGAAATGGAAAACGAAATCACATGGGTCAATTTCAAGGATATGAAAACTGGAAAATCGGGACAAACGTACAGCATGTACGATCTGAAGCACGAATGCGATAAGATCGCGTACGGAATCGGTGGATTCAGTTTCGATGACCTTTTCATACCCAGACGCATGTCTGCAATGGCAGAAACCATGTATAGTTAAATAGTTTACAATTAATTCTTTCCAATCAATATTTAATTGTGGGTCGAACTGAGAACCTTGCGAGCTCAAGTACATGTTAAAAGAAATCGACCCCAAAACGGAATTGTTTCCTTTTTTTTTTCTTACTGTATTCACACGCTTTTCATAAAAAAAAATAAAAAAAATTGTGTGTGGCTGACACTTTCAGTGAAGTGAAAAGGAAAAGAAAAGCTCCAGCTACACACGTTCCGGTTGGAGTTCACACAGACACACACACACACACGCACACGTACATAGACGCGCGCGCGCGCGCGCGTTCGATCATAATGTACATACAGTTGGTCACATAAACTTGGCCAAAAGAAATTACTTGGATATGTGTGTGCGGTGCACACATACCCAATAACAAGTTCACTCAACCTTGTTTGTTGACTTCGAATTGCCCAAAAACCAACTACGGGTCTACGAGCGGAGGCACTCAACCATAAACTTTATATACAGAATGTCTGTTGTGATATTTCTTGTTTTTGTTTTTTGGCAAAGTTCACACGCGCAACGGTTTTCCAACAGCTTGACACTTTTCGTTGCTAAACACAAAACATAAATAATAAGAGTTGTGGCTTTTCTTTTGCGATCAGTTGATTAAGCGAGTGCTGTTCCGTCGCGTACTGTTTGGTAACTGAAACTGAAGTTGGCTTAAAACCGGGAGCAAGCGAGCGGGAATGGCCAAAAGAGAGCGCGCATTTAATTGCAGAGTTGCCAGCTTGCGCGCAAAATCAAAGCTTAGAAAGTTGAAGAAATAATACTGCAAAATAAATGCCGGCAACTTCAGTTTAATTGTAGTCCATAAATAAAGAAAATACAATAGTTAATAAAGCAATTTGAAAAACAAAAATATTGTATAACATCTACTTGATATATCGAAAGCAATTTGCTTGTTTATTCATTAATTGCGCACGACCACGGCCCAGCTCTAGTTAAATGTTATCGATATATCGCTGCGATAGTTATTTTAAGGCCAGCAGCAATTGTGCAGAAAAACGCAACCTCGTGAAACACACACAAAACAAAAACATTAATATTATAATCAAACAGAAGAAACTGCGTTAAATAGCAATCGCAATGTGGTGCAGAACAAAAGTAAAATGTGAAATTCACTGAGCTGACGAATTCGCGCACATTTGTGGTGGTTGCTGACTACTACAATTGCATATGTATGTATGTATACACCATACACAAATACATACACATGAGTTTGCGTAGGAGGTATCAAAATAACAACAGCAGCAGCAACAGCAGCAGCAGCAGTAGTAGCAGCAGCAGCAGCAGCAGCAGCAACAGCAGCAGCCAGAGCAACAAGGAAGCACTCTTCACCATATGTTCGATGCATCAATGTTGCATCAATAACCGCGTGCAACAGCTCGTTAACGTTCCATGGAAATTGCAGTGCCAATGTCAAGCAGTCAATGTCAAGGCGAGCTAACGCTAGCTAAGTAATTAATAATAACATTCAATAGGCCCACACACACACACACACATACATAGCCATAGCCCTTAGTAGCCAGTAGCCAAGTTAAAAGGCAATACAAATACAAATACGGATACCTCTCACTGTCAGTCAGTCAGAAACAAGTGTCAACACCTACTCACACACACGCATATATATATATATATAGATATACATATATATATATATACTACACACAAATCACAGCAGCAGCCAAGGAAATATTGTTAGTCCAAGGGCCCGCTGGAGAGAGCGTGCAGCGCACTATGGGCAATTGCCTGAAATGCTTCCAGTCGTCGTCGTCGTCCGCCGCACCAACATTGCCAACAAGCAGCTCATCTCCAAACGCATCGCACACATTGAACGCCAACAGCTGCCAAGCGGCCACCAGCATTGGCAACTGCTACGATATCGTTGGGGTGAATGCGAATGAACGTTGCGCCATATACAGCGACAGGCCACGCGGTAAGCGAATCATATCTAGCTCCCTGCAAGCCATATATTAACGTTCTATATATCTGCAGAAACCGATGAATTGCTCTCTAATCGAACTCCACTCAAGCCAGCAAATAATTGTGATACTAAGCGTAATAGTTTTAAGTCCTTAGGCTTGCTTAATGGAAGTGCGCCAACCATGAGCGAAATTATAACAACTGGTAATTACCGTTTGGAGCACACATTTAAAGAGGAGTTTTTAATAATCAATTACTATTGCAGCGGTCAAGGAATCCATGGAGGTGTCAGATCAAACGCTAAATAAACTATTTGAGATCTACAAAGATCCAGACGATGAAGATATGATACTCACTGATGGCATTGAACGTCTGTGCAATGATCTTAACTATCAGCCGGATGAGTTTGCAATACTTGTGCTTGCCTGGTGCCTCGATGCATCACAGATGTGCCGCTTCACCAAAACTGAATTTATTGACGGCCTGCACAAGATGCGGGCAGATACAATTGCGAGCATACGCTTAAGACTTGAACAGACTATTGAGATGCTTAAGGTTGATTCGGAAATGTTTAAGCAGCTCTATCGTTTTACGTTTCGGTATGCTACACACTAAATATCAATTGAATTTTTCCTATTATGTTCATGTTTATTATTTGATTTTTAGTTTTGGCTTGGAGCCAGATCAGCGCGTGCTGTCGCTGGAAATGGCAATCGATTTGTGGAAACTAGTGTTCACTGTACAAACACCTGATCTCTTTTCAAACTGGGTAATCTTCCTCGAAAAGCATCCGAACATACGCCGCATACCCAAGGATACATGGAACATGTACCTCAATTTTACTGAACAATGTGATATAGAAAATTATGATGATACCGAAGCGTGGCCAAGTCTCTTCGATGACTTTGTCGAATATGAAAAGAATCGTGCACTGGAGGTGACCGTCCACGATGATGATAACAACAATGATGATCCATTGCAGAGCCATGTCAAGGCCGGCGGCGATACGCGTCACGTGTCATAGTTTAAGATGCAGCCCAGTAGCCAAACACACATAATCGTTTTTTAGGGCCAAGCAACGTTCAACTCGCTAATAGAAATTTAAAGCAGTACAATTTCAACACGTTATTCATTTGCGCGCTCTCTTATCTATTATCTTGCTGTTAGCGTATGCTGTTTTTTTATTTTTTTTTTTATGTGTTTTGTTTTTGTTTTTGTTTACTTGGAAAACCTTTGTAGTCGGTTCTGGCCAACGGTCATAGATCTACGATGCGGTGCTGGCGCTGCTTGGATGATTCACAACCACCACGAACAACAACAACAAGAACAACAATAATAATAATATAAAAAAAAATGTAAAGAAAAAAAAACTGCAACAACAACAAATGCACAGACAGAGCCAGTCAGCCAGCTAGATGATAATTTACCTTGCAAACATTTAACGCGCAGCTAAAAAGGGCAACGGACGCATTTGTTTATAAATTAAAGACTTATCAACAAGAATTTCGAAAAGCTCAATCATACGAAACCGCATGTGTATATATATATATATATATATAAATATATGTATATTGTACTAAATGACTTGATGCAACTAGAAGAGCAAACATGTTTTCAATGTGTGCAACAAATCGTATAAATTATACATTATAGCTATTAACTGATGTATTATTTAAAAAAAAAAAAAACAAAAAAAAACAAAAATGCAAAGATTGCAACATTTTATGGCACTTAACTATTTAATTGCATACAATTACATACTTAGTTCTAAGTAGTGGATGTGAATTAAATAAACATAAACTAAACTAATGCAAGTTTGCTAATAATTATTCTCTATTAGATAGAAACATTTTTAATTGTTGGCCTGTTTTTTAGATTTATAATTTAAATTTATATTAAATATGTAATTTGAGCGGTTGACTTTCCAGTCGCCGATTGCCCGTTATCGATAGTGCAATCGATATTTGTCGTTGCCTATCGCTTTTGCCAGTGATGTGCTGATTATTGTGCACAGACGCATGTACATACATACATGTGTGTATGTACGTGCGTACTTACTGCATATTGATAAAAATTTGTAAAAATCCACTTGCTTATTAGTTTATAGGCCCCGATGAGTAAGTAGTTGCCTAAAACGATTACCTCAGCTGTTTGGCGGATTGTCTCAGCACAGCAGCGACGCCAACAAAATTTGCGCATTCCGTGAAATTGATTCACGATTTGACATTGAAAACACAAACGCAATGGTGTTGTGGGCGTAAAGGAGGAGCAAAGGGCAAGGATACGGGCAAACGGAAACGGTCGATCGAAAGAGGAAAGGAGGACACCAACAAGAACAACAACATGCCCTGCGAAAGCTGTGGCATTGAGTTCACGGTCTTTCGCCGTAAGCGCAGCTGTTTCGACTGCAGGTAAGTTGGTCCAATCCGAAATTTGCGACATTAATTCATAAATTGCCATACAAATTGTTTTCTTGTTATGGCCTTACAGGCGCTATTACTGCAACAATTGCTTGACGGCGACGACGGCGCGCCGCTGCCAGCGCTGTGCAATATTTGCCCAACGGCCGCTGTTGCACGCGGATTTGTTGAAACTAAAGCCAAAAGATTTAATATTCTATTTGCAATCCAAACACATTTCCACTGAAGGCTGCCTGGGTGAGTCATTGCAGCCGCACGACAAAAAAAAAACAAAAAAATGAAATAGAAGTCATCTATATGCGTTTGCCTTGCAGAGAAAGAGGAACTGGTCGGTCTGGTGCTGGCACATGTCGCTCAGTCGGATCGCGATACGGGCCGGCCGCCCAACAATAGTCCCGGACGTGGCCAAGCCAATCCCATGGACAGTCTGAAGCAAACGTGCCAAAACTTTTTCACCAATCTGAGTGACAATATCAGTGATTCCTTAGCGTCCTTTGACACAAAGTCCAATACTAAATCAACGACGGACAACAGTCGGGCCAACAGTCGACATGCATCCCATGATAATGGAGCAACGTCGTCATCGTCGCCGCCGCCGCCGCCGACGCACATTTTTGAGCAGCCGCGTGTTTCCACGCGCGAAATTCCAACGTATGCGAGTGCAGCTCAAGTGCAGACACCTGTACGCACGCCAGCCACAGCGAGAACCAACTCCACGGAGGTAGCGCATGTGCATGTCAGTCCATCGACCTCGTCGACGCACACGACAACATCGCCCACAGCCGCACCGGAGCCCAAATCTGTGTCTGTGATGGCCACAGAAGCGGCTAGGCTGCTGCACAATATTGAGCGTGATAACTCGGAGTGTGAATGCTCGGATGATGAGATAATAACCACGTTCAGTGAACGCACATCGCTCAAGAATAGCGAGAACAGCGCTGGCCAGGCAAGCCTAAGCCGGCCACCCTTGGAGACAAGCACTGCGGGTCTGGGTGCGACGACGACAGCAACTGCGACGACAACAGGAACGACCACAAACACCAGTCCTGGCTTCTCCAAGCAGGGCTCCCTTAGCTCCAAGGTGGACGCATGCGGTGCAGACGCTTCGTCGCAGTCCAGCTTCGAGGAGCTGGGCGCCATTGGCGGCATTTCGGACGAGAGCAAAGCGGCAACCGATACCAACAGCAGCAACCTGGATCAGTGGCAAATACTGGAACAAACAGCGCCAAGCAGCAGCAGCCAAGCGCTGCAGCAGCAGGGCTCACCCACGCAAACCGAGACGGCTACGGAGGAAATTCTAGAGGTGACGGTGCGGGATGTGCCTGGCGAGGCGCCTAGCTTTGAGCAGCGCACTGTCACGGTGCCGCAGGCGCCGCAGCGCACCAAAAAGGTAACACGACGTCGCTCCGACGGCTACCTGAATCGTCGCCATCATTCCAGCGATGATGAATCGCCAGTTGCGCCCAACGGATTGGCCTTGAGCACACTGAGCGAACAGCCTGAGCCGGGCGCAGCCTCCAGCAGCAGCTGTCAGCGTTGTGGCAAGAATAAAACAAATATTCGCCGACATGTGGACAGGATGCGTCGACATTTGGAGAATTCGCAAATGTCTGAGGAGGATATCAAGCATGAGCTGCAAGAGTTTCTCAGTTACCTGGAGCAGCGCACCAAGTCTGTGGACTGCTCCGAAGCGGACAGTCATGCCATCTCGCCGCTGAGCGGCGCAGATGCGGGCAGCATAGCGGACGCTGGTGCCGCCGGCTTGCCGATAACGCCAACGATTGAGTTCTCGCCCACACAGGATGATAACGAAACGCATTGGGAGGATGACGAGGGCATTCATGTGTATGCCTCGTCCCTGGGCTTTGAGCCGGGCAACAGCATGGACTCACGTTTCGTAAACTTGGAAGACTTTGAGGATCGGTAAGTGGAAAGGTACATACATACATAATATTGCTAATGCCCATGTATCTTTCACAGAAAAGACTTGGAGAATCTAACGGTGAAACAGTTAAAGGAGGTTCTAATGTTGCATCGCGTTGACTACAAAGGCTGCTGCGAGAAACAGGAGCTGCTCGATCGCGTTTGCAGACTATGGAAGACTATGCGCACAGCGCCAGGTAAGTTCTTATTTATTTCTGTATACATCAAAACTGTATTATCTATATACGTATATATATATATATACATATATGTACAGCTGTTGAGAAACTTGCCACGGATGAACTTTGTAAGATATGCATGGATGCGCCCATTGAGTGCGTTTTTCTGGAATGTGGTCATATGGCCACCTGCACCAATTGCGGAAAGGTGCTAAACGAGTGCCCGATTTGTCGACAATATATTGTACGAGTTGTAAGATTCTTTAGGGCGTAATTCTAAATGGCAGCCCATAGCTCTGCTTAATGGTAAAAAGTATATAATATAATGTATTATGAAAACTGGTTGATTGGCGGCCAGCGTTGAGAAGCTGGCCAAGTGATTTGCTGTTCTGTGCGTGTACATATTGAAAGTATGTATTATTATACACAAAAATAACAAAAATACAAGCACAATCTGTGCTATTTATACCGTTGTTACTGGGTCTTAAATGCTCAATAACTTCAGTTGAATAATAACAACTTGTTTGTTTCCTTATAACTCTAATGCTGGCAATAAAACAATTGCTTTTCGAAAAGAAAAGGACCTCAGTATGTTTGCAAATTGAAAAATACAACTTACAAAGTATGTATTTACATATATATATATATATATAGAGCATATTTAATTTGTGAACTCGTTTTTTGACTATTTATTTCACTATTTTTTCTCGTTGTTAATATGCGTGTGTGTATGGATCGAGTTGTAGTCTTAGCTAAGATAACATTCCTATATATTGTAAATGATGGAATATATGATAAACACAGTTGTAAAACTAAAAATCTCGTCTAGATGCGCATTTACATTAATAAAATCGACACCTTTTATTTGAACAGCTGCCAGCTTCCAATTTGAATATGGCGCGTGCGGCCAAAATATCGTTTATCGATTTACTTTTGAGCTGTGCTGTGCAGTGCTTACACAACACTGTTTTCTTCTTTTTGTCTTTGTGCTTTTGCGGCACTGGCTAAACAATCATATGTTCAGTATAACGGCATTTAAAAGTGCGCGGAAATATGTGACTAATTAGTGGAAAAAAATATAAAGTTTTGTTGGTTTTCCATGCGCAATTCAATGCAAATTACATACAACAGTCTTTATTGAAAACTAAACGATAATTCTAACATTAATGACAAGAGCTAGTGTATTAGCCTGATGACTAGAGTGAATGGCATTCACAATACGGCATTCAACTTCTGTGCACGCGCAGATCAAGCGGCGTGGGTAAGTCCAGTTCCATATCCATAGAATAGTCCTCGCTGTGCAAATAACGATAGTTGTGCTCCCGCGTGCTCAGCCAGTAGTCTGTGCTGGCATATTCGCTATTGTGCTTGGGTTGCAGCGTATAGTCGCTTGCCACGTTGTCACGATCGGTCAGGTCCAAATAGTAGGCTGTTCTGGGTGCGGCGGGCTCTGGCTGTGGTGCGGCAACGGGCGCGGGCAGGGGCTGTGGCTGCGGCTGCGGGTGCGGCTGCGGGTGCGGCTGTGCCGGCGGCAGGCAAGTGTAGGGCGACTCGTTGCCCTCCAGCATGCAGGTGGAAGTCTGACTCTGGATCAGCTGAATGCTGTGCTTGAAGGTCTTTACGTGCTTGCGCAGCGAGGAGGGATCTGTGTAGCGTTTCTGGCAGCCGGGCACCTTGCACATATAGGGCTTTTCCATGGAGTGCGTGCGCGTATGCTTGAACCGATCCGAGGAGTTCGAGTAGGCCTTCAGGCAGCCCTCGAAGTGGCACTTGTAGGGCTTCTCGCCCGAATGTGAGCGTATGTGGATTTTGAGATTTTCGGCACGCGAGAACGACTTCTCGCACAGATGACACCGATGCGGCTTCTCCTTGGTATGGGTGCGCACATGGACGAGCATCTTGTAGCGTGCATTGAAGCCGCGCTCGCTGCGCTGACAGCCGCTCCAGCGGCAATAGTAGAGGCCATCCAGCAGCGAGGCGATCGCATGACGTAAGGTGACGTGTTGTGCCAGCGCCTCCAAAGATTCAAAAACTCTGCACACAGGCCGAGGAGAAATCAACATGAGTAACCTGTTGCATGGAACGTGATCGTATGCCGGACACTCACCTGCCGCAATCGTGCCAATTGCAGAGAAAATCGCTGTCGCTGCAGCTGCTCTGTTCGCTGCAGGATTCTGTCGGCGAACCGGAACCAGAAGTCGAGCTCTGCTTTGTGCACTTCATGATGACGGACTGCGTGCGTGGACTCAAGCCGGACTCAACAGCAACTGGAGCAGCTGCGATGCGTGGTGGTGTTATCGGAGGCGTGGGAAACCGGAGGTACTGCATCTGCGGCAACTGCTGTTCGGGCAGCCAGCTGCCGGTTCCGTTCTGTGCTATGTACGGCGGCGTATTGTACGGCGTATAATAGCTGCTCGCCGGCGGCTCGTAGTATTCGCTGCTGCTGCTGCTGCTGCTGTGACAGAAATTGGGCTTTTGTACTAATATATCCATTGTGTTCACGTTGTGTATGTGAAGTGTGAGGTATTTGGTTATTTGTGTGTTGCGTTCGCGAGTGCGATTGCCAAACGAATGAGCCGCTCGCCTGCAGACATTCGTGTAATATTGAAAGTTCTGTGCCGATAAGGCCAGACTGCGCCGTACGCTTATCAGGCCCCGAAGGCTGTGCACGCAGACAGGCCAACGGGGCCGGCCGGGGCGGGTTGGCTAGATGGCAATAGCATACACAGAGCCGAGCAACGGCGGACATCCGTGGGCCAAGTTAGTTGCGTGTGCGTATCAAATAAAACTCAAAATGCCAAGTTGAAGCAAAAGCAGACATTCACGAATTCCACGCAAATAGCTCTAAGTTGGTCGGGCACTCTGGCCGGAATCGGGGCGGTATACGAGGCGGTTCTCAACCGGGGCAAGTGCACACATCATGTACGTGAGTGAAACACCGTCTGCTCCCTGCTGTGCACCGACGGGCCGGCAACGGGTGGGGCGGGCGCGTGACAAGCGGCTGACTTGGCGCTTATCAGCGAAACGCACTGCTGGAAAATCGGTCTAGTAGCTGACACTATGTGTGTGTGTGTGTGTGTGTGTCATGTGTGTGGGCAATGATCAGCCGGAGCAGCAGCAGCAGCAGCCTCTGAGGGGGGCAATTCGGTCGCTATCGCCCGTACACGGATTGCACTTCGTACTCTCGGAAACACAAAACTAGGCAAGTCACTGAAATCCCCTCCAGCTGGTGGCCGTATTACGTACAGATAAAGTGCCGCGTCGACTTCGATTCGGATCGGGTCCGGGCCAAGTCTATAGCGTACAATCGACCACATGCTAGCCGTATCTCTGCTTTTTGTTAAACGATGACGCTGACATTTTGGGCCAGCAACATTTGCCAATGCCCAATGTCTTATCAATGGGCAACTCTGTAGCGTCTCCGCCGTCTGTGTTTACTTTCGTGTATTTCGCTCATTCAGCCGAAGGCCAAAACACCGGAGGGGGGGGGGGGGAATAACACGGACAGCCATATCTCTCTGCTGCTGCTGCTCCGACGCTCTGCTGGGTGGTTAACTTATCAGCTATATAGCTGGCGCAGTCTGGCCACATTTGATGATAGGAAGTGAATCACAATTCATAATGTTGTTGCTGTTGCTGTTGCTGCTACTCCAATCGCGGGGGTCTTACATAAATAACCACTCGGAAATGGTATGACATCAGGGTCTACGATTAGCTTTAGGCGCCTCTTCCATGTCACCCGCCACCGCTTCCCGCCCGCCACCTAAACGAAGACAATGACAGTCGAATGCAGCAGGTGCAAGCGGCAAGCTGTAATCGAAGTGCGCAAAAAATCATGATTTATTTTTAGATTAACTTACAGATACGACCGCCAAACGGGCTATCGCCCTATGGACTGTAATTAACTAGAAGGCTCGAAGTACAGTTGTCGCCACTTTTTTTTTCTGCCTACGCATTGTCATTAAAATCTGATAAAATTATCGGACTGAAGTTCATCAGGTTGGCATAAAGCAAGCCTAACAATATTCTTTAAGAAAAAGAAAAGAGAATTTCCTTCAACCAAAGCCTAATTGTGCCCAATTTATGGCTGTAATACAATCCAATAATTCCGCTTAAGAGTTCGTAAGAATATTCCAATTGGGAAAACGTAGATCTTCCAGTAAAGACTGATCTTTATTTAGAGTAATATATAATAGACTGGCTGATGAGCTTATGAATGCTTCGGGGAACTTCGAAATATCTATATAATTTATAAATTGTGCCAGCATACTGTACATAGATATTATATAGATATAGGCTAATCCAATCTGTCAATAGATCTCTGGGATCTCTCTAAGAAGGAAGCTAGAAGACTGCTCAGCTCGGGTTACAGGGAATCTTCTAGTCGGACACTGCCGACTCGCATTTACTTTATTGATCTGTAAAGCTTTGAGCCAACTTATGAGTCTAATATACATAAACATGCGCAGTGTCAGGGATTAGAAATATTCCTTGAAAACTTTTTGTTTTTAATTCATTTTGTTTTTTTGTTCTCATTGATTTCGACTGTTGCGATCTTCTAATTGATACCCCTGACCCGAATTTATTGCACAACATGCGTAATATTCCGTCAACGATAATATTTATTTTTCCATATACATATATAAATAATACAAATCTGGATTCTCTGGTTCCCCTGAAATCAGAAAACTGAACTTTGTATGGCGCGAGCTGTGCTTGATAAGCGACCATATTGGAGCCGGGCCGCATATAAACGAGCTCAGCAGCTACCACAACAACAATTTGTCCGTCCGGCATCGCATGTCGCCAAACAGCTGCCCCACTGCCATGCCCATGCCCATGCCCATGTCCAGACCCATGCCCATACCCAATCCTCCAGAGATTAGCAAACAGCAGCGACAGAAATCTCCTCTCATAGAGGTGAACGCGTGCGCCGCAAACTGTTTTATTAATTTTTCCGTAGTAAAATTGAAAAAAAAAAAAAAAACAAATAAATACAATCCCCAGCAAGTGCGCCATATAGAATGCTTGAGTCTGGGCAAGTACAATACACAATACACAATAACCGGCTCGATCCGGTTACTTGGGGCTCTGTCATATTATGATGTTCAATATTTCTATCAAATTATAACAACATACTTGAACTGATAGCGCCAGGGGTCTGGCTGGGGCTGGCTAAAGGTGCCAACTCTGGGCGATAAGCCGGAACGAGTCTCGGATTGGGGCGTGTGCGCTCAAACCGAGGTTCGAGCTGGGCTTCGGTTTGGTCTAGGGGTTTATCGAAGGCCCAGCCTCTCAATTTGCAAGCGACAAGATGGATTCTGTGGGAGGAATGCGACAAAACTACGGTGCAGAGAGAGAGAGAGATGTAGAGAATGGTTGAGGGATAGGTTTCCACCCGACTCTCTTCGCATATTATGGATTCCTTGTCATGTGAAGCGTGGAATTCCTGGAATCCTAAAGTTTGCCTTAAAGGTCTCCGCTTAGATAAAACTGACAGATTCAACAGGAAACAGTTGCTAGAATCATGTGGAACTGTGCAACACTGTTTTCTGCAGCACTAGCCAGGAATGCCGGGCTTAGGCCGGCAGAAAGCAAAGCTTAAAATCCTTGGAATCCTAAAGCTTGTGAATGTAAACCTTAGCCTTAAAGGTCTCCGCTTAGCTGACAGATCCAGCAGCAAATAGTTGCTAGAATCATGTGGAACTGTGCAACACTGTCTTCTGCAGCACTAGCCAAGAATGCCGGGCTTAGACCGGCAGAAAGCAAAGCTTTAAAGTCAATCATTCGATTTTAGCAAATGCCGAAACTGAAAAGAAGGCACCATAAATTTCGTGGACCCCTCGCAGTACACTTGACCCTATCGAAGGCAAACTTCCGTGGAGTCGGCCGGCTGCTGATATGGCCAAATGGCTGGACAAAACAACAGACGTGCAAAGTCCACACATAAAATCCAGAACGCATCACCAAAACAGTATCCCATGCAACTGGAGCATGTAACTCGAACCGGGTACATTGTCTGGGCCCAAATGTTATCTCAACAGCAGACGGCTTGATATGCCAAAAAAAAAAATATATATATATATATATAGAGAAAAAAAACAAGAGCTGATCAAAATGAAAATGAAATATCATTGCCCGACTTTCATGGGAGCCGCGGTAGCTAAATAGCAGCTATATTTATAAACGGTTTACTATTTTTTGTCGCTGTGGTTCTTGTTGTTGTTGTTGTTGTGGCTGATACTGCTGACAATATCTCGTCTAGACGGCCTATTATTAGAGGCCAAACATTTATGAAATTTATTGTTATAAATTATTAAGCGAAATTTTCCACAACATCGCTTGGGTCTAGCAAATAAACCCTATCAGTTTAAATAGGGCCAATTACTATTGGAAAATACCATTAAATGGGTTTATAAATGGAACCTGAATGGGTTTTATCTTAGCTGAAAGAAAGCCAGATATATTGCATACAAATTGTCTAAATGGACAAAACAACAGACTGATGCAATCTGTGGCTTGGATTACGTTTTGGCAAAGGTTCACAGCACGCGCGCCAACAATAAGCAGAAGAAGAACTGACACTTATCAAGCCCAATATTATGTTTGATTATTTTCGGAAGAGGCGGGGGGTTGAAGGACATTGACATCCAAGGCGATAAGCCGCAGGCAGCGCAACACGTGCGAGCTTTTTTTTTTTTTTTTTTTTTTTTTTTTTTTTTTTGGGGCCAATCGCACCTGTACCGGGCGCCCAACGTTATTCACTGCACACATTTTGCAACACTGTTGCGAGGCTTATAACGGCACTTACACGCAGCCGAAAAGTACTCCGGTTTTATTTTGAAATTGTTGTGATTGAGCGCGTAGCGTACGAATTTTGCGCACGTTTGAACTTGTAATGGATTTGGAACTGTTGTCAATGTTGTCCTGAGCTGGGAGCACATCCCACGTTGTCCGTGGGGTCTCGGCGCCGGCAAACCAAAATAAACGCCCAGCATTGACCCACACGGCGTGCACACGCTGCGGTTCATAAATAAATATTGAAATATTGGTATATAAATAAATGCCATAGACATTGGCTTTAATCACAACTATAAATACATGATGACGGCGGCTGCCTCACACGAACAGCTCCAGGTTGTTCTGCATATAGCTGACCAAGGCACTCTCGAACTGGGAGCGGGCCATGCTATCCAGCTGCAGGTTCATGCTCACATAGAACTGACGGCGATGGCGCATGCTCAACTTTGTGGCCAGCACCACGGAATCGCTCTGTCCGCTCTCGCCCATAAATGTGGTGGATACTATTTGCTGGCTGGGCGGACGTGCCGGCATGGCAATGGCGAACTCGTCCAGGCGTTCCGCATCCTTGCCGCTGAGGAATAGCATTGTGCTGCCGTTCATCTTGAGTACGCGTAATGTGATCTGCAAAGCGCCCGCATTCAGTTGGGCCATGTGCGAGGTGAAGGCTTGCCCGGCAGCCGGCAGGGGCATTTGTTGTTGCTTGGCCGCATCGCCGCAGGCTTCCATTTGCTGAGTTGGTAAAACGGCGCAGCTTTCCATTTGTGTACTTTTTTTTTCTTTTTTTTTTTGGTAAAAATTGAAGAGAAATGCAAAACTTCTAGAATTTACAATGAAATGCAGTTTTGTTGTTAGATAGCAGTGTTGCAAAATAGCCCAGCGGCGCAGCGCTGCCAGCTGGTCAAACGCTGTGTTGGTTAACGCTTGACTTTAGGCGCCAAAGCGAATTGAACTTGAATTTTTGAGGCGAATTGAGTAAAACGCAAAATATTCGCCGTTCGCAGTGTTGTTTTCATTTTATTAAGGCTCTATTTGAATGTGGGCGAGTTTTTGTTTTTTTTTTCTATTTCATTTTCGAGTTAAAATACATACATATTACGATTTCGATGCTAGCTCCGAACATTCAAGCTGTTCAGCTGTTCTGTGTACATTTATGGATACATAAGCATCAGGTTATCCTGTTTTTGTTTTCTTTCGATTTGAACTACTTAAATACAATAAACGATTGAGGGCTGTGCAAGTATCAAAAGCAAAATCAAATTAAGGGCAATTCATTTTAAATTGTGAACATTTTGCTTATAAGATCAGTTCCGCTTGGATAAGGATTATTCAAAATGAAATTCACTAATTAATTTATATACTTTGTAATGTGTTTCTTCTTCTTATTACTTTGTTCTCTGAAAATTCGCATTCGAATCGTATTTTAGTTAAATATCATATTGTTAATTACGTTTGCGTCTATTGCCGTTTTATTTATTTGTGTGGTTAATTGTTAAAGTTGCTTGAACTTGAATGAATATCAATTAATTTGGATTAAACTTGTAGCTTTTTTTCTACTATAATTTGACTAACATTTGCAACCGCGATTTCAACTTTCATCTTGTTTTAGATAATGTATTAATGTTGATATTTTTTTCTTCTTGTTCTTTTTGCCCTTTTGTTTGTTTTTTTTTTTTTTTCTTTGTTGAAGGTTAATTTTTTCTTTTTTTTGTTGCTTTTTGTTGTTTTTTTTCGTTTTAGCTGGTTGCGAATAAATATATATATATATATAGAGAAGTGTTATTACATATATAGTATGTGGGTGTGTGTGTGTGTGTGTGGTTGGTTATTATGCATTTTGGGTATTTCAATCCTCATCGTCCTCAGATTCGGCCTCCTGGAGCCAAGTCAACCAGGCGTTCACTTGAAACAGCGCCGAGCCCTTGCCTGGGTATTTGTCAGAAATCTCCTCCTTCCACAAAACGAACGCCTCCTCCTCAATGATCTCGGAATCGTAAAGATATTTGAACCAGCGACAAAGCATGCCTGAAATATGAAACATAAACATTAGATCTAAAAAAAAGATGATCCAGAGATGATGTCTCACCCTTGGGGAAATTCTCGTTGTAGCAGAAGAGCTGCAGGGCGTAGAGCGCCATGAGTTGCAATTCGTTTTGGCTGAGGAAGGTTTGCAGCATCTGGCTGTAGGTCTCCAGCATGGCCTGTTCCTTTTGGGTGACCGACTTCTCGGGATGCTCCTTCGGGTCCATGTTGCTGGCGAGTGTCGTCTCCTTGGTTATGTACTTGACCACAACGGTCATGAGGGCCTGTATGAAGCCCGGATCTTTGTAGTATTTGTTGTCCACATTGGCCTTGACCCATTTATAGAAATTGTTTGGATTCGGATCGCTCTGCAGCTGCTTAAGCATCTCGGCTTGAACCTTGAGCAGCGGATAGAGGAACGACAGCTGTCGATCCTCAAGAATTTCAGCCAAACGCTCCTTGTTGCGATCCACCTCGGGCAGGCTGTTCATTAAATCAATTTTGCTTGCACGGAACTTCTCCTCGAGCGCATCCTTGCCAATTGTCTTGTGCAGCTGCTGCAGCACGAGCAAAAACAATGGATAATGCTGTCCATTGTCCGTATAGTTGGCAATGTCATTTAGCTTAATCAGTGCCGGCTCACAGACCGCCTTGCTCAGCACGGAGGCGACCAGTGCGGTTATCCGTGGATTCAGTGCCTCGCGCTCATTCATTTTGTTCACCAGTTGCTTGAAGATCTCAACGATGACATTCGGCTTAATGCTGGACAGTTTGCGCAATGTCTGCAGGAAGCGAACGATACGCTCCAGGTATACATCATTCACACGGTCCAGCACCTCCATCAGCAGATTGAGGCAGACATCCTTTAACGCTTTCTCCGGCAGTTTTAGCTCAACGAAACCCTCCACCAGTTCCGTAAATGGATCCGGTTTAGTGGCTTCCATTGTTTCCGATTCGTTGGCGGTATCAGCCGTAATTTCATCATTTACAGTTACTTCATCATCATCATCATCATCATCATTTGGCTCCTCATAGTAGAACTTCTCCTTAAAGTAGGCGGTGGCCTTCTTAGTCATCTCCTCCTTGCTGGGTCCCTTGTCCTTCTTCTGTTGCTGCTGCTTGCTCGAATTGGAGCCCGACGGTGTTGTGGGTCGCTCCAATGCGCCATTCTTGGCCAGCTGCTCCTTGCTGTCAGCGCCCGAAATTGTCTTCTTCTGCTCCATGGTGTGCTCAGCTGCTGTTAACTGGCCGGCTGTGCCGAAGTTCGGCGACGAAGAGGTCGCCTTGAGGCTCTTCTCGCCCAGCTGATGGGTCGCGAGCAGCGAACGATTATCCGCACCATACTCAGCCGATGGTGTGGACGATGGACGCGCCGGATTGTTCATTAGATGCGATGTCGGTGTGCCCAACAGCGGATAATGCGAGTTGGACAGCTGCGAGCTGGAGTTGCCGCTGGGCGGCGTCGAGATGGGCAGCGTGGCCGGGAATTTTTGATTCTGTGAGGCGGCACGGAACAGCAACGAGTTGGCCGCCGGGCGCATTTGCAGATTCTCAACCGAATCCTGATTGGTGGTGATCAGATTGCGTTTAAAGCGCGGCGCCAACTCCTTGCCGCCCAGCATCAGCTGATTTCCGCTGCCGTATTGCCCGTCATTGTTGCGATCATTGTTCCGATCGTTGTTCCGGTGCGAGCCGCCGCTGCCGCGAGAATCGTCGCGATTACCGCCGCCCCCACCACCACCACCTCCTACGCCGCCACCGCCGCCGCCACCTCCTCCTCCTCCGTTGCCAGCACCGTTCTGATTGCTGTGCTTGTTGTTGTAACGATTGTTATAGTTGCCGCCGCCTCCTCCACCTCCGCCGCCGCCGCCGCTGTTGCCGCCGTCACGATCACGATTGCGATCGCGATTGTTGTACTGGCGATTATCACGATCACGATCCCGATCACGGTCCCGATTGTTAGCGCTTGTAGCAAAGCTGCGCAAAAAAGTAAGAGAGAGAGAGAATTAGTTATAGTGCTGTATAAATCGACTTGAATCATCCATTTTGCCGGCTATACTTACGGCGATACAATTGGCGATGCGCCCGTCACACTCAGCCCGCTGAACATGTCATTGTAGGCGCCGGGCTGTATATTCAAATGGAATCGATTCATCCAGCTGTCGCCGTCGCGATCATTGTTGCGCATATCGCGATTGCGATTGGCGAACGGGGTGCGAATTATTGAGTCGTCGTCCGAGCGTATTTGCTTTATGGGGACGGGTCCGTCGGAGCTGCCGCCAACTTTGCGCGGTATCCAATGATTTTGTCGCAATTCGATGACATCCTTTAGCATGAAGCGTATCCTTGGTGGATATTCAGTTGATTTTGAACGACGTTCCAACGTCTCAAAATACTGGTTCATCAGCTCTTTGCCCTGTTCTGAATCCAGATTCTTGCCGCAAGTCTTGAGCAATTGAGCCAGGCATTCCATGTCCTCGCACATTTCCTGCGCACCGGCCGTACGCTTCTTCTTCTTATCCAATAGCTCCATAATGCACGCATGCAATACATTCTTTGAAAGCATATCCAACTTATTGAGCTCCCCAATAAACTTGACATTGCCCAGCATACGCTGTTTGGCCAAATGACGTCGCTCCTCCTCGTCGGCCTCATTCTCGGGCGGTGGTCGATTATCGTTCGCCTCATCCCGCTTCAGTCGATTGTTGAACTTGTCCCGACAGACGGCGATCAGCAGGCGCAGAAATGTGCACGAATTGTTTGGTTCCTTTTCAAATGATGGCGCTTCCTCGGACAAACGCTTGCACAGCTGTGCATACATAGACGAGTATTTGGGCTCGTCCAAGGCTTTATCGAAGATCAGCAAAATGACACCGTTCAGTATGACAATTGAGTTAAGATCAAGCTTGAGCAGCTCATCGCTCAGCTCCTGGAATTTCTCGGGCGTCAATTTATTCAATATGCCGCGCACACGCCGGAATACTGCATCATTTTTCTCGCTCTGCGTCAGGCCATGCTGTGGACGCAGCGATGGCGGTATCCAGCGTCCAGTTATGGGCTGTTGCTGTTGATGTTGCTGTTGCTGCTGTTGTCCAGCTGCAACTGTTGTTGTTGCTGCTGCTGCTGTTGCTCCGCCTGCTGCTGCTGCTCCTGATATTCCTCCTGTTGTTGTTGTTGGCGGTGGTGTTGTGGATTTGTAGCTTTGTTGTTGTTGTTGCTGCTGCTGCTGCTGCTGTTGTTGTTGGTGCTGTTGCTGCTGATGTCTCAAGCTTTGTCCACGCTCGTAACGCTCCTCGTTGTTGCTGCTGCGATAACGATTTGAGGCGTGTCCGTTACGTTCGCCTCCACCGCCGCCGCCGCCTCCTCCTCCGGCGCCGCCTCCTCCGCCGCTATAGCGTTGATGTGCCGGCGATTCGTCTGCGTAACTGTCCCTATAATTGTCCCGATTATCCCGATTGTAGTCGTCGCGATAGCGTCCGCTCAGGCTGTGGCCGGCATTGCTGCTGTTGCTGTTGTTGCCATCGTTGCCGCCGCGTTGTGTTCCGTAATTTGACTTGCCAATTGCCGAGTTGTTGCTGTTGTAATGACGTTGTTGTTGTTGCTGTTGTTGTTGCTGCTGCTGTTGTTGCTGCTGTCCGCTGCTGCTGCTGCTGCTGTTGTTGATGTTGCTGCTACTGTTGCCATTGCCATTGACCGTCTCGTAGCGCCCGCCGCTGCCGCGATAGCTGCTGCTCGAGTTGGTGTTTAGATTGCGATTGTAGCTGACGCCATCGGAGCTTGTGTGATAGTTGTTGCGACTACCACGATGCACTCCCAGACTCCCGCCGTTATAGTTGCTCGAATTGCTATCAGCGTTCAGCGTTTGCTGACTGCCGCCGCTGCCGCCACCGCCGATGTTGTTGCTGTTGTTGTTGCTATTGTTGTTGTTGTTGTTGTTGTTGCCGCTTGCACCCAAAATGTCACTATTTTTGTTATAGTAACGCGACGACGACGAATCGTTTTGATATGATCGTCGAGGTCTTGGGCTTAGCTCCGAATCGTGTTGACGAATTTTGACGGTATTCTTATTATAGCCAGTGGAGTAGTGTCCGCTTGGGCCACCAATTTGTCCGCCCACGCCAGCAATTGCTGATGAGCCGCCGCTGCCGCCGCCGCTGCCTGATCCTGCGCTTGAACGGCTGCCGTTCCTTCCACCCAATGGGGATTCGTTGGTGTTGCTGCTGTTCCCACTAGCCGATTTATTGGCACGATAGCTGCCGCCGGTGTGATTCGTCGCGTTTGTTGTGCCCTTATCGATCTTGACCAGATTCTTGAGATTGTTGAACGTATCGGTTGCGGTCGTTATGGGCAATAGATTGGGACTTGTGTTGAGCAGTGTCTTTTGTCCAATTGACGCCGTTGTCGTTTGTGGTGTCGGTGGTGTTTGGCCTCCGCTGCCGCTGCTGTTGCCACTGCTGCTGTTGCCGCTGCTGCTGGTGACGCCTAAAACGGCGCCGCCGCCTCCGCCTCCACCGCCGCGATTGGTCACTTGGTCGTAATTGCGCTCGATAATATCGTTTTGTTGTGCCGTTATTATCAAACGCAAATCGTTGACGCCGCCGACGCCGCCGCCGCTGCTGCTGCTGCTGCTGCTAATGCTGCTGCTGCCGCCGCCGATGCTCGTCGTGTCACCGGTACTGGTGCCTCCCTCAATGGTGATCGTTTTGGCGCTGTGGCGGCGAAACTGATCTATGATGACGCCTGCCTGATGCCCGTTGCTTGTACCGTTAGCCCAACGTTGCGGACTATCGTCGTAAGTGTGCAAAAGGGGAGCGGCGTCGTACGTTGATAGTGGAATGGTGATAATTTTTCTCTATCGACTTGGGAGCGAAAAAAATTACAATTCCTCTCTCTCTCTCTGTTTTTCTCTCGTTGAAAGCGTCACGGAGTTTGTGAAGCTCTCTCTCTCTCTCTCTCTCTCTGTTAGTTTACGGTGCTTCTGTTTATTGGATCCTGTTTGATCTGTTTCTCTCTCTCTCTTTCTCTCTATGCTCTCCTGTGCTGTTATACAACACTACACACGCGAAACAAAACAGAAATTTTGTATAGTAAACACAGACACACGCACACAAGAGACACACACAATATATATATATATATGTATATATATATATATGTTAAGCTGTTTATGTATAGCTGTAAATGATGGGGCTCCCTTCGGTTGCTTTGTCCTAAGTCTCTTTCCCTTCTGCTACGTCTGCTTCGTTAGGTTCTGCGTGCGCTCTTCCGGGTTTTAAATGTAATTTGTATAGTCAGATAGATTCCTGTCTAATCGGATATTGCCTGCTCCGTTGCTGCTTGCCGCTTACACTTATAGGAATCCTGTTGATATATAGAGAAAGAAGCCGTGCCAAAAGAATCTAATTAGAAACAAGTTTGAGTAGGGGGGGAAAGTTTCAAATTATATGTACACAAAAATCTAGACAAAGTTGTGTGATATGGTCTAAATATTATACATACGTACAGGGGGTATACTGACAAATGTGCAAATGAAAACTGAGAGCATATAAACAGTTATACACACATTACATAAATATTTTCAACCGAAGAAATCTCCAAATAAATCAAATTACCTCGAAATTACTTTTCACACTCTCGACTACTTTTGTTTATGCTCTTGCCTTTTATATCTATGTTAATAACAGGCCAATGAGTAATAATGCTGTTGCACAGCTGTTAAAAAAAAAAAAAAAACACTCATTCGTATTAATTTACACTCAAATATAAAAAAAAAAGAAGCTCGGCTTAACAACTAAAAACAACGGTTGTTTGCCAAGGCACTCGCATAGTTGTCGACCGATGACAATGGGAAACTATCAAAAGTCTAAAACTGGAATTTTAATGAAAATAACCTCGCAAAACACCTTCAAGTTTATTTCACTTTTCCCCCACACACGACGCAACGCAATTGAGCGCCACAAGCACACACAAATACATACATATATACAAGCAATTGCTGTGTTCTCGCTCAGCTTGGGGAAATTTATTGTATGTATTTATGCATGTTTGTGTGTGTGCATGTGTGTGTGTAATTTTATGTATAGATGCGTGACAGTGTTGCCGTCTTGCGGCGCACAATTATAGTGCGCAGCTAAAGTGCATTTTATTAAATGCAATTACTTAAGGTGCTCAATACACAGTTTTAATGCATTTAAATTGATTTTAATAAGCACACAAATTGACTGAGCAGCTGTGCTCTGTCAGGTCGTTCGCTTTTGTTCTTTGTTGGCTTTTTCTTTGTTTGCGCGCGCTCCGTTTGCCATATTTGAACTCCTCTTTATGTATGTAAGAAATCAAACTGAGATGTGGATGCTCACGTATCACACACACACACACATGCACATGCACATTTGCGAACGTGTGTGTTTGTACTCATTTTGCTAGACGTTGCTGCTGCGCACAAGCGCGCAAAAATTTCTCAGTGTCAGTGTCCTTTGCTTGTGTGCGTGTGTGCGAAGGTTTATGGCCTCTGCTAGAGCTTTTGTTGGTTCGCCGTTTGCGCTCTGCGCCATCGAATTAAAGTATTTTGACCCCAATAAAAAATGTACTAGATGGGTGCGTTGTTGTTTTGTTGATTAGCAGCGCTTAGCATAAACAAAATATAACTTCGCAGCGAACATTATTCGCATTTGTACGCTAACTTTTTCACTTTTGCTTATACACGAATTCCACTCAAAGAGAGCATACATACATACATATGTACCTATTGGAGAATTGGAGAATCATGCCCGCATATCAAAAGCTCCCCATCTGAAGCAACCCTGAGCCTGATTTGCAGTTAGTTTACTTATGTATATAAGCGTGTGTGTGTGTGTGTGTGTGTGTGTATGTGACTGCAATTTAATGCCTTCCAAACACCCCCCAAAAGTGTCCAAAGTGTAAAACCACCCCAAAAGAATGTGCACATATTTCCGCCCTTTCAAGCGTTGCAGCGCAAAGACGTCGACGACCCCGACCCGAACAGAACACTAAAATCCGATGGCGCGTCAAGAGACCCAGTTGTGGATGATTTTGACCTCAATTCGAGTGAGTCGTGCACAAGCGTTAAGTAAATCCCACTAGAAAAAAACCTGATGCCATTTCCAATGACACACACGCACACAGTTACAGAGCGAGAGAGGCAATAAAACTGAATTTTACTTGGTAAATGCGTAAATTGCTCTATTCAATCCAATGACCCGCCCTGGTTTTCTTCTAAAATCATAACCCGGCCTGTTTTCAATATGCCTCGCAACTAGTTTTTTTTTTTTTTTTTTTTTTTTTTACTCTTTATTCAATGCTTTCGTCATGCACATTGTACAAAGTGCACACACATACACACACCGACACACGCTCACACCATGAACATGTGGCGCATGTGTGTGCGTGCAAACGTGTGTGGCTGTTTTCGAAGATAAAAGCGTACACACGGAAAATCAAAATGAAGCTGCATTGAAAGCGAATCGAAAAACTCAACCTTAACTGTAGAAAGGGTGAGAAAGAGAAGAGAGGAGCGAGAGCAGCGGCAAAGCAACGTCAACAGCAGTTTTTCCGCTGTGTGCCGACGCCATTTTGTTTGCTGGCACTTGACGTTGCCGTGCTGCTGCTGCTCTTCTCGCTCTATCTACCTACATATGTATGTTAGCATGTACTGTATATGCATACATACATACACACATTTCTTTGTATTTTGAGTGAATCATTTTTTTTTTCGATTTCTTTGTCAATTTCATGCAGCGCATTTTACATTTTTCTTTCACTCAAGTTGTACGAATTCCCACCGTTAGGGCAAAACACAGCTGAATTATTTCACATTTATTGATTTAATGTCGATTTGCTGCAGCTCTGCAGCGAAGAAGCAGAAACGAGGACGTCTTAAGCGTACATATGTATGTATGTATGCATCATGGAAAAGTTTTTGAGGCTATAATTTTTTTTTTTTGCCTTTTTTATAACCTTAGTTCACTTTGTATTCGAATTCAAACCAATATTACACACTTATTATTTTTCTTGATATATTTAAATACAATTGTAGTAGTAGGCGCTGAGCTTTCTCCGCCTTTATTGTACTAACCTCTATAAATTACTGACTGTATGGCAACTTTTTTTGCGAAAATTACTACCACCAGTCCGACGTGCTGCTAGACAATCGACTGTATTATCGGATTTTGCTATAGATGGCGTGCTCCACGATATGTGTGTAAATATCGATGTGTGACTATCGAGAAAATGAAAGTGTGCTGTTTAGTATCGAATGAATTTGTAATTTTTATATATAATGTGTGATTATAATCGGATGCATATTAAGCAACTCAATTAAATTCGAATTCTATGTACTGTCAATACTCTAGGTACTCATATTTAAGAAACCAACAGGACTTCCGTAGTCAGTGTGACCCTACTCTCCTATAGCTGTGTGCCAATCGATAGTATTGCACATCGCACAGCTGATCGTTTCATTCTCATGCCGTTCCGTGCATGTCACTTGTTTCCCCATTGTTTGTTTATATTGTACATTGTGGGCGTGTGTATGTGCATTGGTCCACAGTTGTTAGCAACAAAATAACACAATGAGCGATAAAAAAATTTTACAATTTGCACCATTTGAGTCGTTTGTGTCGCCCACCTTCTGGCACAAACTGGCCGAGCTTAAATTGGATTATGATCGTCTGTCCGACACGGCACGCTCAATTTTTGGCCACTACACAAATCGCAAGGCGTCCGGCTGTCTGCTCGAGGTCGACTACAGCGCATATAATAGGTAAGCAGCTAATGGGGCAGCTGATAAGGCCAAAGCAATTGACACTCGATCGATTCACAGCGAAGCGCAGCCACCAAAATTCAGCCATGCAGCCGTCGGCCATATTTACAATAAAAACACAATCGAGGAGTTCAAGACCCTGGACAAAACCGCCCTGCTGGCAGATGAGGGCAGGCAACTTTTGGCTGATATGAGCAGCGGACGTGCCTTGAACGATGCCAGCTTATTGACACGTTTCTTTGTCCTATCATTTGCCGACCTCAAGTGCCACAGTTATTACTACTGGTTCGCCTTTCCCTGCCCGCTGACGCCCATCCTGCAGCTGCTTAACGATCCCATTAAACTGAAAGCGCTGCCCAATTGTGACGCCTGCGTCGATGCCATACGCACGCTGCCTGCAGAGGCGCAGAACTTTTTCGTCTTGTATGCGGACGAGGGGGCGAACGTGTGCGAGGCGCGCAGCTTGAGCGCTGCCTTGAGTCAATTTGATGAGCAGCAGGCGGAGCATTATTATTACTGTTTCGCTGATCCCAGCGAGTACGAGAATCCAGCCTGGCTGATGCGCAACTATGTGGCCTTGCTGCTGCAGCAGTGGTAATTATTGACTTAATGTACTAATTAATTACCGTTGATTTTCATGTGCACTCAAAGAGAACATTAGGCGCTCTTTTTGATTTGTCAGGCATCGATAGCATTAGCTTGCTCTTGTTTTTGTCGAGAGAGCGCGAGACAGTGCTTGCTTACACTAATACAACAACACTTGACTTATTTAAACACTTTTCACTCATTTAGTCCCACTCTGGTTGGCAAGCCGCTCAAGTTTTTGGGCCTGCGCTACGATCAGCAACTGCAATTGGACAACAGCCTGATTTGGCACGTGTCCCAGGCGGAGGCATGCAACTACGCGCAGCTGCAGTTTGTCGGCTGGGAAGCGAATCGCAATGGCAAAATGGGACCACGCATGGCCAATATGCGCGACAGCATGGATCCGGCCAAGTTAGTAGCACATTAAGAAACCTCAAAGTTTTCCTAATTACGAGATTACATTCCTAACAGACTGGCCGAGAACTCAATCAACCTGAACCTGAAGCTAATGAAGTGGCGCCTGGTGCCGGATTTGAATTTGAATATCCTGGCAGAGACCAAGTGCCTGCTTTTTGGCGCCGGCACACTGGGCTGTGCCGTGGCCCGTAATCTGCTGGTGGGCTCTCTGTCATATTTATCTGTTAAATATATTGTAATTTCTATTGTTCGCTTAGTCATGGGGCTTCAAGCACATCACGCTGCTGGACAGCGGCAAGGTGGGCTACTCGAATCCGGTGCGTCAGAGCCTCTATACGCACGCGGACGCAGTCGCTGGCAATCGCATGAAGGCATCCACAGCTGCCGCGCATCTGCTCGAGATAAATCCCAGCGCCGTGACCAAGGGCTATGTGCTGGAAATACCCATGCCCGGCCACACCATAGGCGAGGCGTTGCGCGCCCAAACGACGCAGCATCTGCAGCTGATCGAGCAGCAGCTGCAGGCACATGATGTCATCTTTCTGCTCACCGATTCCCGGGAGAGTCGCTGGCTGCCCACGCTTCTTGGTGCGGCACATGAAAAGGTTGGAGCCGGTTAACAAATGCCATCGAATGAGACTCAAGTGATGCATATTAATCCCTATATCCTCACAGATTGTCATCAATGCGGCGCTGGGCTTTGACAGCTACCTGGTCATGCGGCATGGCGGCACGCGGGAGCCGGTGGGCGATAGTCCCAAGGATATCGCAGGACTCAAGTGCATCGCTGGGCAGCAGCTGGGCTGCTACTTCTGCAATGATGTGACCGCGCCGGGCAATGTAAGTACCCAACCGAGTCAAGCTTTCACTTAATGCTTTTAACAAAACTCTCAGACTTTATAGCACATAGTTAGTAGAATACGGAATGCATCTAGTTATACAAACAAATGCAAACCTAAAGCTAAGCACACTCGTAATCGTGTCGCGAATATTTCTCGAATCCGGCGCACGTCGGATCGCCCGTTTGCACGTGATCCACGCCGGTTATTTGTATCACAAGGCCATTGATGGCGGTCACCTTGAAGCCCACCAGATTCATCATGGCATTAGGTGTGCGCCAGGCATAGCTGAAGAAATTGTAGCCATCCACCGCGGTTAGAACTTCACGTTCCGTAAAAGCCAAAGCCAGTTTGAATTGCTGATTGAAGACGAAGGGAAAGCCGCCGTGGCGCTCCTCGTTACCGAATCTGCAAAGAAAAATATCAGTATGTTGAGCTTAATAATCAAGTAAAGCTTTAAGCGAGCATTATCGCAATTTATTAAAGCTCGCTCAAAAAGCTTTTAAGATACAACTTATTTTAAGGCTCAACATATTTAATCAAGTCAAGCTATAAGCTTAGTAAAGTTGTGATTTACTTTGTAGTGTTTAAAAATAACTTTATGTGCAACTAAAAGCACTCAACAGCTTTAAGCGAGCTTTAATATGTGCTCAATACGCTAGCGATACTTTTGCGAAGTGTTGAATGAGAACAAAATGTAAGAAACGCATTTAGTTAAATTCTCAATGAGCTTGATTCGCTTTATCAGCTGAGCTTTAAATGTTGGCTTAAAGCTTTCAATTAACGGTGTTGTAAAACGACTTACTCAAAGTTCTTGTTCATGCTATTGCGCACCACAGACTTCTCATCGAAACGCACGCTAAAATGCAGCTCCTCGCGTTTCGTATCCGAATCGGTAAACTTGATGATAAACTGTCCGCGTTTGTTCTCAAAGCAACGCGCCGTGATCACAATCACATGGCCGGGACTGAAGAGTATGGGCTGATCGTTGCTAAAGGCCTTGAAATAGTCAGAGGCATGTATGGCCGGCCAGGGATTGGGGAATACGGTGCGATGATCGACCTGTTTGATCACCTGGATTTGATCGCGTATCTCGACGGCGCGTATCGCATTCAATGGCAGGCGATAGCGAAATGTGCAGAATTCGCGACTGTTGATGGATATGTGAAAGCAATCCTCGCACGCCAAAATGTACACCATAAAGAATTCGCCGCTGACAATCGGATTGGGTAGCGTTATATTGTCCATCACCTGGGTCTCCTCCTCGCCCCAAATCCCATGCAGACGGGCATTGCGCACAATCGTATCATTGCGAAAATAGCAGGAGAAACGTAATCCGATGTCCGCGTCCGGATTCACCGTCGACTTGGCCGTGCACAGATTGATGTGGAACCTAAAAGGCGGCGGGTTACACAATTGTTTAGTTGTCGGCGTCGAGTTAGTCATCATAAGTTGTCCCCCGATAAGAGACCAAGTACACTTAGTCATGTTCCGAGCATTTTATACGGGTCTCTCGGTGGGTTGGGTATACTTTACCGGGCGGCGCCGTCGATTGTCTTGGCCACAATTTCCAGCACATGACCGAATTCCAGGGGATGCGACAGATTGCCCGAGTACTCTGTTAACATATTTAAGCAATATTTATTTGGTAATAGACGGAATTTCGGGCTATTTTTTTTTTTTTTTTCGTTAGACTTTATCGATGTTGTCGGCTAGGCGAATCGACATTATCTCACGGAACGTTCAATGAAAACAATAATTCTTTGCCCACGGCAACTTCTCTGAGAGTTTTGTTGCTTTTTATCTAATCAGTAAATGACTCGAGAGCTGGCAAGCGTTGTTTGGCCTGCCCATTGCACTCTGCTACGCTCTGTGTTATGTACTTTTACTATTTAGTTAATTTTTGTTGTTTTTTTTTTCCTTTAATTTTGTTTTTTTTTTTTTTTTTGTGTTTGTTTTAATTGTTTACTTGGCGCTCGCACGCTCAGCTGGCTTACCTAGCGTGGGGGGAGTCATTTTGTTCATATATATATTTGTATTATTTTTTGTAAAGCTCACTGCACCGTTTGTTGACACTGTAAAACGATACTAAAAAGCTTGCGCAAGCTCGTATGCTGTTTAAAAAGCGAGCAAAGCTTAGCTGGGCCAAATAAATGTTATTAGCTGCATACCCAGCTTACTACAGCGCCCGTTAACAGTTTGTGTGCTGTTAATGCAGCAGGCTAATGCTATGTAGGGAAAACGTAAACATATGTTATGTTAGGCAGGTCCAGGTTATGTTAACAGGTCCTGTTCATTAACAGCTGTTACTCATACAAAATTGTAAACAAATGTGAACACTGGTACTCGCTCAAAATGTTATCTACAGTAGCCTAATTCTGCTGTTCTTCTGTTATTTACAGTCGCTTAAAGATCGCACACTGGATCAACAGTGCACTGTTACGCGACCGGGCGTCTCTAACATAGCAGCCAGCTATGCGGTGGAGCTGTTGGTGGCCCTGCTGCAGCATCCGCAAAGGGAACTGGCGCCCGCCTACTATGCCAACAGTCGAGCTGGTCAGCATCTGGAGACGCCACAACTGCCGGAGGGCCTGTTGGGCATCCTGCCGCACTCCATACGCGGTATGCTGTGCAACTATGAGAACATTCTGCCTGCCACACAAAAGTTTGCGCAGTGTATTGCCTGCTCGCAGGTATTTGATACTATTATTATATATAAATATGTATATATAGATAACGTATGCCTTGTTCCCGTGTTTTAGCGCGTTTTGGCCGCTTATCGCAGCGAGGGTCACGAATTCTTGTTCAAAACCTTCGAGACGGCCAAATATCTGGAGGATCTAACTGGCATCTCAGAGTTTAAGCGACTTAATAGTGAGGTAAGTTGATTAAATGAAACTTTAACTAAGTGCAGATTAAGTTGCGAGTAATATATTGTATCTAAATTCCAGATAATAGAATTTGATGATGATCAATTTGATATGTCCGAGAACGAAGATTAGTTTGCTTTTAACGAACATTGCATTTTCTACCAGATTTAAGCTTAAAGAGTCATTCGTCTAACACCAAAAAAATATATATATATGTGTGTGTGTGTTTTCTGCTAATACCAAACCATTTCTTTAGATATTTTTCTAGTTGTAGTAAAAAACCGAACCGTTGACTTGTAAGATCATTTTCTTTCTGTGTGTATGCCCTTGTGGCATTCGACCAGGCAGCATCCAGTCCAAAAGCTGAATTTCTGTTTCAGCCTTAACACAAAAGGATTGCGAAATTAATGTAGATCAGTAACTGAGAGAACGAAAAACGCTTACCATATTGGGACAGCTGTGATTCAGGCTCGTATAAAATGTTAACCGCTTAAATACTTCATTTAGCAGCACAAATCTCTTGCGGTTTTTGAAGAACTGGCACACATCTGCACTCGTATCAGACAACCAAGGATGCCAGCCCGTTTGTAGAATTTATTAAGTACCTTATCTATATATAAACTAAATATATATATATATAAATGTAAATATCTGTTTTATCACGCAAAAAAACTAGTGAATTTAATTGTGATTTAATGGATATTTAATGTTATCTACAAAATTCCGTTTATATTAATAATTGTTTTCAGTTGTTTCTCACTTAACGTATCTGGATTACATTTAATGTTATGTTAACTAAACAAACTGTACACAAATGTTATGCGTTGCAGATGCAATTGCGTGCAATGTTAGGCAACTGCTCCTGTCTGTTAAGAGTGTTATGTAAATGTGAAAATGATATTTACAGTCGCAAGATCTGGAGCATCTAACTGGCATTTCAGAGTTAAAGCGACTTGAAAGTGAGGTAGGTTGATTTAAGTAAACTTTAAATGAGTTTAGATTAAGTTGCCAGTAATATATTTTTATCTATATTCCAGATCAATCTTTTTCCACAGACATTACTTAACATATTTCTCAACTAGTCGGAGTAAACAATCGAACCGTTGACTTGAAAAAGTATTTTCTTATTGTGATACCAAGTTGTGTGCAGTGCATATTCGCCATGTTCGACGGGAAATGGCTTCAAAATATTATCAGGCATCGTCCAGTCCAGAACCTGAATATCCGTATTAGCCTGAACGAAAGGGAATTTACAAATGTATGCAGATAAGTGAATTAAAAGTATAAAATCTCTTACCATATAGGGGCAGGTGTGATTCAGGGTCGTATATCCATTCAACCTCTTGAATATTTCATTCAATAGTAAAAATCTCTTGTGGTACCTGAAGTACTCGCACATGTCTGCATTCGTATCATACAACCAGGGATGCCAACCACCACGTTCACGTTTGAAGAACTTAAAATTTACCTTTAACTAAAGGAAATCACTTAAAAGTTATTAGCTTATTTTGAATAGAGAGATAATATTGTACCTCTCTTATGGTTCTTGTCAGTCTAAATCGCACGTTCATGAGATATTGATTGCGGTTTACGGCCTTTATAAGACACTGCTCCAAACTTACCATATCTGTCTGAGGGGCTGCACATTTAAGGCTGTTGATCTTGAGCCTTGCTTGGATCTAAGAGACCAGCATTGTGTAATTTTGAGTGTTATTAATTTATAGAGTACTCACAGGCATACAAAATAACCATAAATGAAGCACTATTATAAAGCCAAGTGGCTGGGCCATGATCTCAACGCTGACTGCATAAAAGATATAAAAACCTAATGATATATATAGAATAGATTTGAAATTTATATATCATTTAGCGAGTGTATTTATATACATATATGAAATGTTCTGCTTGACTTGATTGAGAGTTAATATGTGGGGTATAAAACGCATTTGTTAGACAAATGAAAAATTTGCTATATACATAAATATATATATATATTATTGCATTATTGTTTTCAATGTTAGACTGTAGACTGATAAGAATATGTTGAAATTTGCATGTTTTCGGTTCATTGGCTGTTGAGTAGATTTGGCAGGAAGTAATGCGGTCAGTTGCGAGTTCGAACCCCGCCAAGGAAACTTTTTTGTTTTGATTTAATAAGTATTGGAATAAGAGGGTTCAGGGCATTCCCTAGTCGGTAGCTACCGACTAGAACCTCTTACTGTTTAATTTACATATACAGATTACATTTAATTTTATGTTAACTAGACAAGCTGTAAACAAATGTTACAGTAGTGCAGTGTTAGACAACTGCTTCTGTCTGTTAATGATCTAATGTTAATTTAAAATGCAAGCAAATGTAAACACTGTTACTCGTCCAACATTTTAACAGATGTACAGAAGCCTAACTCTGCTGCTCTGTTATTTACAGGCGCAAGTTCTGGAGGATAAAACTGACATTTCATAACTAAACTGTAACTAAGTTTAGTTTAAGTTGCCAGTAATATATTGTTATCCATATTCCACATACATTACTTAACATATTGCTCAACTAGTCGGAGTAAACAACCGAACCGTTGACTTGAAAAAGTATTTTCTTATTGTGATACCAAGTTGTGTGCAGTGCATATTCGCCATGCTCGACGGGAAATGGCTTCAAAATATTATCAGGCACCGTCCAGTCCAGAACCTGGATCTCCGTATTAGCCTAAACACAAAGGAGTTTACAAATGAATGCAGCTAAGTGAATCAAAAGTAGAAAAACTCTAACCATATAGGGACAGGTGTGATTCAGGGTCGTATATCCATTCAACCTCTTGAATATTTCATTCAACAGCACAAATCTCTTGCGATTTTTGAAGAAATCGCAAACATTTGCATTCGTATCATACAAAAACGGATGCCAGCCACCACGTTCACGTTTGAAAATCTTTAAATTAATCTGTAACTAAAGGAAATCGTTTAAAAGATAATTCCTCATTTCGTGTAGAGAAAACACTTGCATGCGTACCTCTGTTATGGTTTTTATCACTTTATATCGCACGTTGATGAGATATAGATTGCGATTTACGGCCTTTATGCGACACTGCTCCAAGCTAACCATATCTGCTTGAGGGGCGTCACATCTGAGGCCGTTGATCTTGAGCCTTGCCTGGATCTGAGGGACCAGAGTTTCATAATATTGGCTGTCCTTAATCTATAGAGTACTCACAGTCATACAAAATAACCCCAACTGAAGCACTATTATAAAGCCAAGTGGCTGGGCCATGATCTCAACGCTAACTGAATGTAATATGTATAAAAACTAAGGATATATAGAATAGTTTTAAAATGTATATATCATATACATATATAGCTATAATTTTCTGCTTGAATACGCAACAAATGCGAGAGTTGATAACTCAAAGTTAATATATATTTAATGTTTTAATGTTGAAGCATAGATCACAAAGTGTTTTTATAATTTACATACAGAGATTGAATTTAACATAGACTGATAAGAAAAATATGTTGAAATTAGCATCTTTTCGGTTCATTGAACTAGTTCGTCAAATTTCCCATTTGTTGATCAACTTTTCCCATAGAAGTGACGACAATTGTTGTTATTATTTCTTGTTTTTAAGTATAAATAATTTACGTCATAATATTTTTTGCAGAATGTCTATGTAAGTGTTACAGGCCAAAACATGCGCCATTAATCAAGATGTTCGCATAAATTACAGTTCATTAAACTCGAGAACGGAATGTAGAAAGCTGCAGGTCAATAGTTTATGTTAATGTTAAGTGTGTGTTTCGGGTCAATGTTAAAAATAGCACACAGGCAAAAATAACATACATAACGGGAAAAGATATCGACGAGCACAGGATGTGCTCTTTAAACCCTTCACATGTGTGCGGCACATTTACAGTTTGTTTTCTTCTTTTATCTAGTTTTACAGTTGGGCTGATAAACAACACTTGACACACATATTTTTCGTCTGGCACAGCATTTGACCCTAGGCCAAATTTCAGATACCAACAACAAAAGCAAATCTCCTAAGGCTTGGCTTCCCACAGAGCCGATCGATGGTAGCTGCTTTCTTCTGCAAATATCGAAAAAACAACAACAGAAGCAGCAGCAGCAGCAGCAACAACAACAACAACAACAACGAGTCGTCTTCATAATTAATAGTTGCTGATGGGTCTGCAAAGGCGAAGACAGCAACAACAACAGCAACGACTCAATGGTTTTAGAGGCAACGCAAACAAAGCCGAAAGAAAAGCAAAAGAGAAGCAAGCAAATATGCAAATAACTAAAACAACAACAACAGAAATAACGACTACAACGGTTGAGCAGCAGCAATGGCTGCCAGCGTCGGCGTCGGCCAAAATGCGCTCAAAATGCTATTCGAGTCCGTCGCATGTCACTCAAATTGCGTTTTGAGTGAAAAACTGACGTTTTGCATGGGCCAACGGATTCCCATAAATTGGTGAAAGATACCAAAAACGCGCACACAAACCAACTGAACGGCGCCGCATTCAACTGGCAGAGCCACCACACGCAATTTAACAGTGTTGCAGTGCAGTGCAAATACTACAATTGAACGCAATTCCAAACCTGATACAAAGGCGCAAAGTAAACAAACACAAAATGGTAAGTAAAAACGCATCCTTAACACATTTGTTGCACAGTGCAGTTTGTTGAACTGTGGGCGTGGCGCGGAAAATGCCTGCACCAGCTTTTCGCTCGGCCTTTAACCTGTTGCGAAAGTTGTGCGCCAAGTTTTTGGCGCATTTGAAAACGATTGCAAAAAAAAAAAAAAAGCCAAAAACGGTTTTCAAAACTGAAATTGGCCAACACGCTGTGAGAGTTTTTTTTTGCTGTTGTTGTTTTTGGCTGGAAATAACAGCCAAGTCATGGCGAAAATTATGTGAGCCGCAATTAAGCATATGTAAAGTGTGTGTGTTTTTTTTTTAGCTGCCTTTTTTATTTGCATGCAATAAACGCACGATTTCAAGTGTTGCATTTACGGCTCATTAAAATGTTTAAGCGGGGCTTTGGCTTAAGACCTTAGCTTAATAGCTTTTGTGCTTTTTATTGGGCTTTCATTTCGGCCCAAATAAGCCGCGGAAGCTTGCCCCGAAAAACGCCTTGAAGTAGGCTCCATATTTAGCTGCTCCTTTGGGTAGAATTTACTGCCTTAAAGCTTCTTCAATCTTCTCCCTGACAAACGGATGCGTTACTCATCTTTCAATTTGAAAGAACTAACTCAATTTGTACAGAATTTGGGCTTGTCTGCGCCATGGAAATCCGCACAAAATTCCAGAAATGACGCAAAAAATATCTGCCCACGAGCCAAGGTGCTTTCCTTGGTAAATGCCCGCACTTGATTATATATACAATATATATATATATATATATATATATAAATAAGTCCCCCGATCAGATGCGTCAGCGGCCAGCTTGAATAACAAATTTTGGGCGTCGTTATCAAATGGGCCTGGAGCTCATTAAGAGAACACCGAAAGATCCATAATTCGGGTCGGGCTAATCGCAGTTCCGATGGATGTTTGCGTGTGCCTGACCAGCTGGGGCCAGCTGTTGCGCTCCTGGCAACATATTCCATAGCACGGAGATCGTTGATAATCGGCTGGGTTGAGCGTTTGTTATTTATTCCATATATATATATATATATAGTAGCTATATACTTGGCATATATGGTTGATGTTTATAAGAAATTGTCGGATTATTGACTGACAGTCGCATTCGCAATCAGTCGCTTGATTTAAGTGGTCCGAGCTCGGAATATATACACAATATACTTAGAAAGTCAGTGGGAGATTCATCTAAAAGCAAATCAGAGCTATCAGCCAGAGGAGATTAACAACAACACAGCGCGCAATTCATTTAAATCAATCAAGAAGTAAGTTTACAGCGATTATGAATCTATAGTTAGATCTGTATTTTTCCACTGAATCGATCAGGCAACAGATTGAGCCTTCAGCAAGCCCTTCCCCATGCCATGCTATAAATAGTCTAATCAATCCATCAATTTGCCCAACGACAGGTCAATCAGAGCACGTGCAAAATGGCCCTGTCCAAAATCGATGCCATCGATACGGACATCGAGCACATCGACCAGGAGAAATATCTGCGCCAGGCCACGCAATATTATTGCGCACTCGAAAAGCCGCTGAAATATGGACCCGTTGTGGAGACCCTGCCGGATCTGATATCGGCGCTGCATCGGGAATTCGAGTCGAACTACGTGAACATCGAGATGGTCAACCATTTGATGCTCAGCTACAAATCGAATCCCAAGGAATGGCGCAAGTATGCCAAGTTCGATCGTTACACGTATACGCGCAATCTGGTCGATGCCGGCAACGGGAGGTTCAATCTGTTGATACTCTGCTGGGGCGAGGGGCACAGCTCGTCGGTGCACGATCATGCCGATTCGCATTGCTTTATGAAAATGCTCAAGGGTGAGCTGCGCGAGAAACGCTACCGTTATCCCAATCGAGCCACGAGCAGCGAGGATCAACAGCAGCACCAGCAGCAGCAGCAGCAGCACGAGCATGGCGAGATCAATGACCACGAGCTACAGGAGATCGGGGACACGCCCATACCCGTTAATGATGTGGCCTATATAAATGGTGAGTGCCAAACGCGATACGCCCAATTATGCCTTATTTCATGCATCATTTTGATACGCACACAGATAACCTCGGCCTGCATCGCGTGGAGAATCCCAGTCATGCGGATACGGCCGTCTCGCTGCATCTATACTGTCCGCCCTTCGATACGTGCAGCATTTTCCAGGACAATGGCAAAAAGGCCACGGCCAAGGTGACATTCTGGAGTAAATACGGCGTGCGAACCAAGCCAACGGAGCAATAGATTTTGTGCAAAACACTTCCATAGTTATATTTATATAGTTCTTAATGTAGTTTATATTTAAGTCTTAGCTATACCAAAAATACGTGCCAAAATCGCGTACACAACTTACATGTTCCCATTTGACATAGAAAAAACACAAAAGCACAAAAACAAAAACTAAATGTCCAAAAAAACAATCTTATCAATTGCGCCTTGAACCCTCCACAGGCAGCAGAGCTTATCAATTCCTGGCTTTGAAAAAGAAACACGTCGAATTTAGCACGGGCTGCTGTTTTTCTATTTTACATACGCGTTCACAAAGTAAAAACCCAATAATCTCTTAACTGGCAATTAGAATAAGAATAAAGGCAGAAAAAAAACTGATCCCCAATTTGTATACTCGTTCGTTTAGGCATCGTGATTCTTCTGATCGCGCAGATGGGATCGTCGCGGCACACCCCGATCGAGTGTCTTCTGGATGCTCTTCATCAGACCCGGCAACAGGGTGATATGCTTGTCCACACAGTTACCGGTGCAGGTCTCAAACAGATGCTTCGATCGGGACATATCACGCTCGTTGGGATTTGCTGGCAATTTGGAGCGTGCATCGCTATTGCATTCCTGGCAAGGAACCGGAAAGGATAGGATTACCAGACAGGTGAGTTAAGTTTGTGTTCTCATCATATATCTATATATATTTCTATGCTAAGAAGTTGTCTTATCTCTATGAGAATTCAAATTTCCTCCAACTGTTCCTATAATATCATAAGAGGGCTTCGATTTTATCCTGGCTGACTTTGGCTAAAATAGTTCTGCGACTGATAGCTTCTACGACAACTAATTGATATTGTGGCCATATGCTGATAAGAAATTACACAAATCTGTTCCATAGAAGAGCCTAATATGTACATATAATAGATAATCATAATACGTAGGGAACTGCCCTCAAAAATTGAGAGACTAGCTTGGCATAGCAACAGACTATATCTGGGCTTGATAAGGATCGAGCTTGGCTCTTCTGCCCAGTGGGATTAGCCCCATTTATGATATTTTTGTGTACGCACCTTGACACAGCTCTGTAAATGATTCTGAAAATTGCCCAGCTCGTTTTGCAGATAGTCCTGGGCATCCATTAGGGGCGAGGCGCACTTCTCGATGCAGCGTTGAACGCTGTCCAAGGTGCCGCGCTCATCATCGCAACAGTTGGCGGCACAGCGATGCATTGTGTGCTGTTGCACATGGTATAGTTGCTTGATTAGCTCTGGGCAGATGCTCTACTCGCCTTGAACTCACCTGCATGCGTCGCAGATGGGAGCGATACATGTCCTCAATCATGTCGCTGATGGCGCTCTCTAGGCGCCGCTTCTGTTGTTCCACCATTGGATTTCGTATAAATTAAACAATTTGGAAAACAAAAATAAAAGTCGATTCTTTTGGTTCTCATATATATATATATATATATATGTAGACTGTGCTGTTATTAATAGGAAAGCAAACTTGATCTCAATTAAACAAACTTTGTTTTCAAATTATGGCGCCAAAAATTCTGAAAAAAAAATAACAGCATTTAATTTGCGGCTATAAAAGTGGATTTAGTTAACAATATTCCATGGCCAGACATTAGAAAAGGAGCTCAACTATTAAAGTTAATTAAGATTAAATGCAACACACATGCATATACACAATGAGTTAGGCTTGGGGTATTGCTTCGGGTCCCTTGGACAGAACCGACTTCATGGTTTTCATCAGATTGGGTATGAGCCCGACATGCTTGTCCACGCATTGTATGGCGCAGCGCTCGAACTGATCTGTGTATTTGGCTATTTGATCCTCGTTGGGAGTGGCTGGCATTTTGACCTTGACATCGTCGTTGCATTGCTGTCGGGCATAAAAGAAAAGTCTGTGATTTAATCTCTCTCTCTCGCTCTATATGTGTGTCCAATTGGCATACCATGACGCAACGTTGTAGTCTGCCCTGAAATTCGCCCAGTTCGTGCTGCACATAGTTTTGGGCGCGCGTCATCGGCGCCGAGCAGCGATCGACGCAGCGCTGGACGCTGTCAACGCTGGAGGTGCCGTCCTGGCAGCACTTTGCCGCACACAAATGCATTTCTGTCTGTTAGGATAAGCAAAAAAAAAAACAAAAAAACAGCGTTTGTAAGGTTTTTCCAATTGGATTTGGTGTGTGCGGCAATTTACCTGCATTTTGCGCAGATGCGTTTTGTCCATATCGTCGATGAGCTCGGTGACGGCCGACTCGACACGCTGGCGCTGTTGTTGTATCATTTTGACTGTTTGTCGATTGTGGCTTTAAATCAACTGCAACTGCTGATTTCGTAATATATATAAACTAGAAAAATATGCCCGGCCGCCAGACAGCGTGTTTTGTAATTCGTAACGATAATTGTCTAATTATCGATAACCGGCACAATCGCTGTCTAGTTCAGTCAGCTGTTCTTGGCTGCATGTGGCGGCGCGTCGATAGTTTTGCTAGCAATTTATCGGTTTAGTTGCAATTCACGCTTGTTAAACTCTTTTTTTCTAATATTTTATGAATAAAAAACATGTCGCTGCTGCACAAGCTGGCCAGGTTCACACAACAGACTAGTTGGCGTCGCCAATTATCTGCTACACAGCGCACCTTTAGCGCCAACAACAGTGCAACAAACGCAAGCGTCGGCAATGTGAACGAGGAGCAGCCGGCAGACCAGGCCAAAGGAGGCTTCGCTCGCGCCTTCGAGAAATACACGGCACCTGCAGCGCCAGAGCCGGCGCCCGTGGACAATCAAAGCTTTGCATCAATGCTGCGAAATTCCAAGTTCATTGATGTAAGCAGACACATGACCAAACGATGGTACTCCAGCGTGTTTATGTAATCTCTGCCAAACAATTGCAGCTGGGCGATTCCGAGGGCAAGGTGGTCAGCGGCAAAATATTTCATGTTGTCGGCGACGATCTGTACATCGACTTTGGCTGGAAATTTCATTGCGTTTGCACGCGACCGGCGCGCAATGGCAGGTAAGACAGACACATACATACATAAGCAGATAACACCCGGCATTGCCCGGTTCAAATTTGTCGAAATATTTCAAACGTGTGAATGGACTTAAGCTAAGCTTTTCATCAAATGCAACGACTGTAAAAGCATGCAGCTGCGCAGCTCTTACAGCGTTGATTATCAATCACTCAGTCAATCAATCAATCAATCAATGAGTCGAATCAGCAACAGCTTTTAGATAATGGAAATCAATTGGGAATCCTTTGCAGCGACTATGTGCGCGGCGCACGCGTGCGTCTGCGTGTCAAGGACCTGGAGCTATCCACCCGTTTCTTGGGCTCCAGCAAGGACATCACCATTTTGGAGGCAGACTGCCAGCTGCTCGGGCTGATATCGACGCCCACGCGCCAGGCCAGCGCCAGCTCCAGCGCCAGCCGGAGCACATTGGACGCACCACGAATCGAAACATTGCTATCAAATTAAATCTATTATTCAGTGCATAAACAATTGTCAAAAGAAACATGGTTTAAGTTCATGTTGTAAACTGGAAGACCTCGTAGTGATGATTCAGCTCCTTGACCGAGTGCAGCTGGAAGCTCGTGGCCAAGGCGCCGTCGTCCGATTGCTCCAGAAAGAAGATGCGTTTCACGCGGCTGTGCACCAGCGCCATGGCGCACATGAGGCAGGGTTCGCGCAGCAGATAGACATCGTAGCCGGTGCACAGATAGGGTCCGTATTTGCTGAGATTATCCGCCTGTTGATCAACAGCGGAAGGCTGTTCGCCACGGCGCGGCAGCTCGGCGCCGAACTGCAAATCCTGGCAAGCTTCCTGCTGCTGCAGATAGTCGTAATATAGCCGTGGCAGGCCGCGCAGCGTGCTAGTTGTACTCGGCTCGTCCTCAACGAACTGCAGCTGCGTCTGCCAGGCGCCGCCTCGTTGACTGCGCGCCACATGATCCACCAGCCACATGGCGCAATGCTGATGGCTGCTCCCGCTGCTGCCGCCTGCTGTGGAAATTGATTTGGTTAAATTGCTGTCATCTCATATCATGTCAAGATGCGCACCTGCTATGGCCACAATGCTGGGATTCCGGGGATCCACGCATATGCCCACGGGCTGGCCTCCGTTCACATCCAGGGAGAGGCTGCGCAACAGCTGCGCCATGCGCTTGTGGAAGGCACGTTGGCTGGCCGTAAAGTTGCTGCCATTGTGCAGGGATTCGGCATATTTATCGGGATGAAATTTGCATGGCCAGTACTTGATCATCTGCTCGTATTGGACGCGCAGCCGGGCGCAGCTGGCGGGCACCTGGACGACATGCACGTTGCGGCACAGCGCCTCCAGCACATTGTCGGAGATTTTGTGCAGTTTTAGATGCTGCTCCAGCGTGTCCTTGATGTCCGCCGTGGGGCATATCAGCACGCTTCTGTCATGGACACGCTTCAAATGCTGAAAATGTGGCAATTTCTGGGCAAGCTCTTGTATGACCGCTTGCAGCTGCTGTTTGGTTTCCACTTGACTGCTGTGCACCTGGATGAGTGTTATGTCCTTCTTATATTCGTCGGATAGCACGGCTTTTATGTCCAGGCTGTCGTCCGGTGGCTGCGTTTTGACCTTTTTCGCTGCGGGCGGACTTAAAATATCCGTACTTCCATTGTTGTCCATTGCTGCGATACTATCGAGTAGTCAATGATTTTTTTAGTTGTAAGAGCGCTAAGTATCGATACAATGGTTAACAGGGCCACCTACGCGCTGTTATCGTGGCGTTGCCAAACCGATAGGCATATACTATTTATCGTAATCGAGCGCCTTGAAAAGTTAGCCGCGCGCCAAACGTCAAACGATTCAAATTGAAATTCAAAGTAATGTGGTTTTTATAAAATGTTCCTATCCGAAAATTGTTTTCTGTGCTGCATAAACCTATACTATGGCTGCATTTTAATCGGCATCTCGGGCCTTTTAATCTCGATTGTGGGCTTAGTATATGTCATATCCTGCATTTGTCCTGAAGCATCGCTACTTTTGGCAGTGCTGGCAATAATATTTCTAATCATATATTTCCTGGGAAAAATCATTTTACTTATTGGTATTGCATGTGTAAGTTTTAACCGAGCCTTTTGTGCACAAATAACTTGAGTGGAATTTTCCTTTTGGTACAGAAATACTGCTTTTTAATACTGGTCTCCTTTTTTTTGGCCCTGTTGTCCCTTATTTTTGCCATTATTGTATTGATAGTGTATGCGGCACTGGGTGCAGCCTTATTGTACGTCGGCTTGGGAATTATATTCATTCTAGGTAAGTTATTAACAATAGCGCGGCAAAAACAATTAAAACGTTCATTTATTTTAGTGGAAATCTACTTTGCATGGGCTGTAATTTCTTATTGGAATGTTTGCGCTAATTGCTGTTTAGCATAAATTGTTTTAAATGTATTGTGAAATTTAAAATGTACAAATATAACGTATATGTCGTGTTTAGAATATACGCGTAACAGTTCCTTCAACATTTTATAAGTAACAGTGCCATTTTGAGTTTAGCACAATTTGGTAACGCCAGTCAATAACATACACTGTTAAGTGAGTGCCGCAGTAACAGATCAGTTTAGATCATTTGCGGCTACAATAACAAAGCCTTTTGAGCAAAACAAATTATTTACTCAAATTTAATATGTCGTTAATTGTGAAAAATATACAGTAAACAGTGCTAATGAATAACTACAAGATTTCATTGTTAACAACACCGAACAACAGCTAAATTGTGGCATTAAACATGCAGTTTTATAACATGTACTATTTTATAACAGCCATTCGAATTGTGTTGGCGGCAACGCGCATTCAGTTCGCTTCGAAACGTCGTGTGGGTGAGTCGTCGCCGTCGCCGTTTCTTTCCATCGTCGTTGTCGTTGAAGGCGCGTGCGTGCAACGCTTTGTTGGAAGTGCTTGTTGCTGTGAGAGTGTTTTCCACAATTAGAAGTAACGGTGCGAAGGTGAAACTGGAAAGTCAGCGGAGCGTCCATTCCAAGTGCATCTTCAAATTGAGTAGTGTTTGCAATTTGTTTTTGTTATTCAAGTGTTTTTTACCTGTGCCCCCAAACCAACTACTACAGCAACAACAACAGCAACAACAAAGTTGAAGAGCGAATTAAACAAATATTGTAAAAATCAAAAGCCTAGGCAAAGTTCACAGCCGGTTTAGTCATACGCGAATTTCTGAGAATTCTACAAGTTGATTTGAGAATCGCCAACTGCTGGCTAAAAAAAAATCCATCTAACAGTCAAGTGTGCGCGCCTGAGTGTGTGTATGCGTGCGTGTGTGTGTGCGCATGCATGTTCTATGTGTGTATAACAGCTGTTGCGCTGCACTTCCAGTCTAAATTGCGTACTTATTAGGTATTTGCTCTGCGCGAATAGCAGCGATAAGATAGAAGCCAAGACATTTCGCACAGTGTAAAACTCTTGAACTCGCGCTGACGTGTGTGTGTGTGCGTGTGTGTGTGTTTATCTTATCGGTAGACCATTGATTGGAGTAGCTTTTCGCCTTTGCCTAAGCAATGCCGGGTGAAGTCATTTGCGCAGCGACTAAGCGGAAAAGACTATGGACAAGGGGCCTCGACTAGATAGGATATCTAACAAGCCATAAAACATCCACCCCCTCCCAATCCTACCAACCCAATATACTTAGTGCGAAAAAACCAGCCACGCAATCTTTGGCTAAATTTGGACACAAACCAAATACCAAACAAGGCATTGCGAACATAAATCAACTGCAACAGGAGCAACGGCAGCAGCAGTAGCAGCAGAAGTCACCAAGATGGACATAGAATCCGATTCGGACACCTGGGAGGATTTTTTTGGTAAGTGCGTTGCCACATAGTTCGTTGAACCTGCCACCAATCACTTGCTCGGGAATGATCATCATATTGCGATGACTCAGCGCGCAGCAGGACTGCAGCGAGCGTAGATTGTTAGAGATGAGCGCGTGACACGTGCCGTTATACGCGAGAAAAGTATCAGTGGCAGTGTTGCCAATTAAGCTTTTTTTGCCGTCAAATTTAGCTTGTTTGCTTCAGGCTAGTTTTTCATGTATGCTGCTAGACTTAGGCTTATATTTTCAATTAGAAATAGCAGAAAAAAGCCTTTTTAAAGCGACATATCTACATATATGTATGCATAAAACAGTTAACTGGCGAAAGGTATGGCAACACTTTGACACGCGCCCATCTTTAGTGTAGCGTGTGGCAAGGTTCTGTCTGGGGAGGTAGGCGTACGCATTTTCGCATGTTTTAGCATTTCGATTGTCTGTCTCCCTCTGTTGTCTGCCCAAAAATGGCAAAGACACTTACACACACACACGCACAAGAAATGCGAGAGACAGAGGCCTGGCTTTGTTTTTGTTGCCTGCAGTCTGCGCTGGCGTCGTCACTATAACTGTACACTTGAGTTGAAGTGCGTTTTGCTGTAACGGTTTCCAGTTCCATGATTTTTGCGCTGTTTTATTTTTTTCTTCTTGTTTTTTTTTTTTTTTTGCATTTTTCTCGATTCGTGCGGCCGCTTGTAATGAAATTTAATGATAATACATAATTTTTGTTGCCTGAATTTTGACCCAAATTACGTTTGAGCCACCAGCCGAGCGCAATTGGTGTTGCTGCATGGAATTTGCCATTTTATGTTAATCGCCTGCGTCTTAATTATGACCCCGTTTTCAGGTACCATTTGCCTGTTGTTGTTGCCCTGTAATCAAATGTGGTTGGCATGGGCCAGGGCCAGTGGGGTGGGGGCTGTTCCTCGCCCAACAATAATTCAATTGAGCATTAGTCACAGTACTTTATATAAATGCGACTGTGACTTTTTGTTGACTTGCTTAACGGCGAATTGTGCGCTCTTAGATAACAGCAAGTGTACAGGCGGGCAGCCAGAAGGGGGTCACTGTTAGTTTGTGTGTGTGTGCTTGTTGAATGCATCAACTGTGGTTTAACAGTGCGCTATAATTGACACTGTTAATGAGTAACAGAGTAACGCTTACGTGCGAATGTGAGTGTGAGTGAAGTTTTTCATTATGTATGCGTAAATTTATGGTTTGTTCTCAATATTTTTATAATCATGATACTGATAGTACCTACCTGTTACTTTACTGTTCTCTCTTTCTCTCTCTCTCTCTTTCTCTTTATTATCATGTTATTAAGTAATGCCTGCCACGCTTGAATATCGCCTTTCTATGTGATTTTCATGACCTCAAGTAATGCCTACAGAGGTTGTTAACTAGAAATATGCATATAGATATAATTTCTTTGCTTTAGCACGTTTGAAGCAGTAACCCACACACAACGTGTGTTCAGACACTTGTCTGCCTTCCACTTAACAGATAGTTGACCAGACCTACCTAAATCTATATATACATATGTATATACAGTATTTATTGGAAGGCTTGGAGTGGAAGCAGAAAGATGATATCGCTGTCTGTTGCCTGGCTAACATTTGACCGCTTGTGCTATCAAATGTCATTTGGTTGTGTTTGTTTCTTCAATAACCAAAAAACTGAAAGTCAAATAGAAAATTTGTCTCTTGTGTTCGAGTTATTGACACAAGTGCCCGCTGACAGAGTCGCGCATGCACAGCCCCTGGGCAGGTCAAGCCAATATCAGACCCGGCACTTTTCCTCACCTTTCATAAACAAACACACACACAGACAGACGTTCTGCTGAGGAGGACAATACCTTGGTGGCTGCTGTCAAACCGCAAACACCACGGGAGTCTTAACTCTAACGATTCGAGTCTTGAGTCTTAGAGTTCATTTGATATTGTTGCTCTGTTTCTGATTGTGATCTGAGAAAGAAACCTTTTGGGCTCTGTGGCTGTGCCCCCTTTACTGTACCCTGTACCCATTGAAAATTTGTACAAAAGGTTATAATGATGTTGTGAAAAATGTATGTAAAGTGTAGAAATTGATAAGTTTTCAGTTCTCGTATATAAGATGCATAAATGTAGCTTCTTTCGTTGTCCAGCTGTCGATAATTATCGATAACCCAAATATTTGGCATTTAGGCGATAGTTTCTTACGCTGCCTTAAGATCGGTATTTATCGATAAGTACATATCGATTTGGCATTTAGGCGATAACTTCTTCCGCTGACTATATATCGATAAGTATCGATAAGCCATATATATTTGGCTTTATCGATAACAAACCTTTAGATCCTTTAGCTTTATTTCACGGTTTTTCTTAAGGGCAAACCACATAGAAGCTAGGCACAGGGTATTGCCTAGTCTGACACTCTCAGTCAATTGCTTTCTTCACTCTCTTTTTGTGTGACATTTATTTCAAATTTTCTTCTACAAAATATAAGAACTAATAGATTATTGATATTGCTCACACTATATACATATATCTACATTATGTTTATATATATATATATAGGTTCATTGTGTGTGCTTGATAAGATTTCTCCTCTTTGTTGTGATAACGCCGACAAGGCCAGTCGAGCCAGATAAGTCACGCAGCCCTAATTTATATAGATATAAATTCCCCATTGTGCCTTGATCCGAGGGGTCAATTTTTTGCGTCGCCTATTTCCGTTGCCCAATTGTTGGGCTCTGCGCAGTTAATGAAGCTAATTGAAAAAGTTCAAGAAAATTGACGCATAATCAGAGCGCGGTTCATTGGCCAACTAAAGACGAGCTATACTTATGTATGTTTTATTAATTCCCATTACGGCTACATCAAGTATTACCTCACCCAAAAGCTGACTTCTAATTGCACCAAAGCCCTCTCAGTGTGTGTGTGTGTGTGTATGTGTGTATGGTGCTCTACCTACTTAAGGTACTCGAAAGAACTGCGAGACATGTCGTGTCGTTGCGTGTGTGGGCCGTGAGTCGGCGTTTGTCTGGTTGCTTTTTCGGGTTTCTGTTGACGACTGTCGCCCCGGTTCTACTCTAATTGCCGCAAAGTCATAGCTGCATTTCTCTCAGTGTACGCACTTCTTACGTTGTGGGCGTTGCAGAAGGTCGTAAAACTTGCACGACGATCATTGTGCACGCATGTCCCAAAAGGTTTTTCTCAATGAAGCCCACAACAGATGCGGCTCAGGTACTTAATACCCTGTAATCGTGCCAAATGGGGCCGTTTGAAACAGTAAAGATGGACAATTATGGGGGATTTCCACGAAAGAAGTATTGTAATCGATGCTAAATATATGTACAGCAACAATCGATTGTTGCTATCTAAACAGTTTGGTCGATATACATCGACTATCGATAAGATGCCAACAGTAACAATCGATTGTTGCAATTTGGTCAACTTAATCGATTTATAATATATAGCAGTTTCTCAGAATAAACAACACATCTTACGAATGTTATCGATAACAGACACCGAAGATACCAACAGTTAATATCTACTATCGATAGATATTGCGCGAAAGAACATATCGATATAGTTTAACAATAACTATTCACAGCATATCGTTATATATTATCAGTTAATTTCGCAAGTATCGTTGCACATCTTGGATTGTTATTTGTGTTATGATCCTACTTTTTTAGAGGGCATCTTCGAGTCTTTTATATTTTACTGCTGCATCCTTACCTCATGCTGTTTTGTTGCTGTTGTTGCTGTTATTGCTGTCGTAAGTTGTGGGACTTTGACTTTAATGAACGCTTTGCGGCATCGCCATGCCAAATGCAACTGCAAATCGTAGAACCCATTGAACCCCGCCGGCCCCTCTCCTCTGCAGTTGCCCGCCCCCGCGCTCATCCTGTGGCTTTGGCTTTGTGCCGTCGTCGCTCGCAATTCTATTTTGGCAGCAAATTTATAACTTCCTTGGCAAATGCCATTTGCTTAGACAGTTTACGCCTACCCCCGGAGAGTGGCTGCGGGGGCGCACGCCGCAGCACTTAAGCCTGGCTTAGAACTCAAAGAGTGACAGTTTTTGACAAGGGGGGTGGGTGAGGGGAGGGGAAGGTTGAGGCTGAGGTTGGGGGTTTTTGGTGCCTGTCTAAAGAATATTATTGCGATATGACTTACGTTTCGTTCGCTTGATTTACAGGACGTGAGTCACGGGCCAAGACTGCAAGTCTGCGTCTCACAGATACTGTATCTGAGGCTTGAAACTCAGTCGAAGTCGGGTTCGGGTTCGGGTTCGACGACAGCTTTTGGGCAGCTCAATGGAGTGGCAAGCACATTTAAGCTCTGTCTTTGTTATACTCTTGCCAAAAGGCTCTTTGGCTATATCATGAAATATGTAACGTCTTAGAAGTATATATCGACAAATCCATTAAATATTTAAGAACAACTTCAACAGTTTCTACAGCTGCCTCTAAAAAGCTTTATATATCAGTTAAAAATTAAGTTAAGTAAGCTCGCAGTAAAGCTATCTTAGCTGAAACTTGGCCTATATACATAAACTTGGATCAGTTTACTATATCATATAGCTGAGAGTAGAACAAACGCTGTTAGACTTCTTTGGCTGTTTCGCAAAGCTATTTTGAGCAAACTTGTCAATAAAAGCTGCAAAGTATTTCCCATATTTTAGCAAGAAGTTATCATAAGATCTATCGGTCAGAAATTTAGTTTTGCTAGAAACTAGTTTACTGTGTTTAAAGATATATTCAGCATATTCAGCAAATGCAAGTTCTATTTTCGTCCCTCTAATATTTTGTTATAATTTATTAGCAGTATTTAACAGATATAAGATATAGTTCCTTCAAGAACTCATATATATATCATATAGTTGCCTTGGCAAATACCATTCAACAATTGAGTTTTGGTTTATTTTTTTACTTTATTGTTCTTTAAGATAAGCTAACCTAACCTGAAATGTGTGATGTGTTCTCTACCTAAATCAGATTGATATAACATA